TCTTTTAAACTTCATATTTAGCCATTTTTTATAGTTACTGTCAATATAAGAGAGTTAATTTTTTTAAATAATCCATGTTAAAGGTACTTAAGAGGAAGACGTGTATAAACATTGGATATTTAAGCTCTGTAAAGGGACTTCAATGGGGATAAGACCTAAATGATATTAAAGACCACTTAATTATGCAATGATACACTGAGTTTAATCATAATCGTTAGAACAGTTTTTGAGAAAATTATAAATATGTTTCACCGTTGATATAAAGTGACACTACCGGTTAGCTCATTTTATATATAAAAACCTTAAATACGAAATTTAAGTTTCGTGCGTGTTTTCGTTTTTGAGCTAGGCTGTTCACTTACACACAGACACAGAATAACAGACACACAGACCATTTTGCAGGACTTGGTTATTTGGACTTTTCAGACACGACTTTCGGTGACCTCAAAACGTGTATTTCCGTTGAAAACTCAGATTCGAAAATGTTCGTGATATCAATACTTTCCCTTTGTTATATATTACATACATAGGTAAGCGAAGGTAAAAATACTAATATATTTTCTTATAGTTCAGAGGTTCAGCCCATAAATTAACAACTATTTTGGTGACATATCAAAATTTAATTTTTTTCATAATAAATATGAGAGGACTAATGGTTTGATTATTTTTGTTGAGATGACTATTGACGTGAACCACTAATAAAAAATTACGAATCACTCCATTCAACACTAAATAAATGGGGACATTACAATCTACAACCGAACAACAATCTATTTTTTAAAAATATAATAAAAAAAATGAAATTATAAATAAGGGCATAACTTTATAGATAAATAAACTATGTTTCAATTTAATTTGTTTTTATTAAGAAATTGTTTGCTTTATATTTATTGGATTTTCCAGCACGTTTTTGCTGATATTTAATAATTACGGATATTTAATGCCGGTTTCTGGCGATGACAATTGGTTTCTCTTTAACAAAATTCTATTACTTTACAATTCTTAAAAATTGTGCTAATGAACATAAAATTATTAAAAAAAATATGTGATTTCGTTTTTCCTGTATTTCTTGTTTTGAAATATTCAATCTTCAATTGAAACCACATTAGTACATATGTATATATATATATATATATATATATATATATATATATATATAATTTAATTTTTAAATATATTCTAGAAGAGATTTTAATAATGAACTTTCGTTCTATTTTCCATTTGTAAAACTTCAGATTTATTTCACATTATTATTTACTTCAAATGACATATCTATTTAATATTAATTTCGTAGTAACGATTTTTTTATATTACCATATATATATATATATATATATATATATATATATATATATATATATATATATATATATATATATATATATATATATATCTTGGATAGTTATTATGTGTTCCTCAACCTTTTTAAATATGCAATATACACAGATTTTTTTTTTTATTATTTATGTCTTTAGTATAGGCAAAATTAAAATAAGCAAAAAAACGTAAGTATAATTTTTAAACGATTTCAAGATAGAAAATAATATAACATATAATTATTATAATGTTCAATAATTATAATAGTAATATCAAGTAATACATTACTTGTAATATTTAGCTCTTCCGCAATTTTTTACCGTATAACCTCCTTTTTAATAATGTGTTTGTAATACTTGCTTGAGGTATCGTATCAAATAAAAATGGGCAATTCTTCACTTTTTATATAAATAATTTGGTGTTTTCCGTATCTATACGAAAACTACCACCAAATGACTTCAACTGTAATTTGTATCTATAATATTTATCAAACATAACGCCGGCCCCGGCCCAAATCTGCAATATTTTTCAAACATAACGCCGGCCCCGGCGCTATAGAATGTATCGCTGAGGTGTAGCGCTCTCTATGCGACTGCTATAATGGGAAAGATAGTAATACAACTGTGGCGCTGTAGCCCCGCGCTAAATAACGCCTCCTGTGTAACCATGCCTTATAATCCTGGAATAATCCTATTAACTTGGGTATTAGCTCACTTTTCTACGTACATTAGGTCACGAGCGGATCTACGGGGGGGGGGAGGGAGCTTTCGGGCTGAAGCCCCCCCCCCAAAATGGAAAAATATTACCATGTTTTATGGGAAAAAAAATTTTAAAAATACCTCTTAAAGTATTATTGTTCGTGTAATTATATTTAAAAGTACTTAAGGAATAACTTAAACACCATTTCATATAGTTAGTTAGTTTCTTTCTGTTTTCCAAAGTAATTATCGTTATTTTTATGGAAAAAAAAAGGTTTCGGGCTGAAGCCCCCCCCCAAAATTAAATCCTGGATCCGCTAGTGCATTAGGTAGAGAATAACGTCGAAGGAGGACGATATTTTTGTAATTTGTATAAATTTATCGCTGGCCCCGGCGCCATGTATCGCTGTGGCGTAACTCTCTCTATGTGGCTGCTTTAGTAAAATAGATAGTAATACAACTGTGCCGCTATATCGCGTTCTGTGTGTATGAGCCTTTACACTTCTGCAATCATTTCTTCTTTTGGATCCCAGTTTTCTATGTTCCACTCCGCATTTTTAAGTTCAATGTTTAGAAGATCAAAGCCACTCTCATTGGTTCCAAGCATCCGATTAATTCCATTCCTTATTATCCTCTTCCCTACCTATCCGTTTCCATACTTCCGTCAGAGACCTTGGGGTAATGTTTGATCAACATCTGTCCTGGAATAATCATATTTCTCAAATAATAAAAAAATCCATTGCTACCATCAAACAGTTCCTAAGATTCTGTGATTCCATGCTCCTTAAAATCCGTCAAATCCTAGTTTCCTCACTCATTTTCACTCCTTTCGATCATGGCCTTGTATACGCTGGATTGTCTGGTGGGCTTGAGATCAGATTAAAGAGACTAATGAATTATTTCATTAGATTTATTTTTGAAGTTCCCAGGCGCTCCCACGTCTCCAGTTGGTAAGGCGAGTTTAAGTGGCTCTATCCAGTCTTCCGACGGCAATACTTCCTAGGTGTATTCCTTTTTTCGAACCTTTTCAACCAAAAAACCTTCTTACCTTCTCGATTTGTTTACTCCTTATTTCTCTCTCAATTCGTTCAACACGAGATCCCAGCCCTCAAAGCTGTTTATTCCTTCTCATAGAACTGTTTCTTTTAAAAAATTCTTTGTCATACGAGCTATCTTGTTTGGGATTCCCTACCTTGGAAATCCTCATCCTTGATCTCATTTAAACATAAATTATCTATCCATCTCCTCAGTAATCAATCTTCCGAATATGTGTAAAATAATGTTAACGTTTTTCAGATCTGTCAGTCGCATTTAATGTTATCCTACAGATAATTATATATCATCCACATTATTTATGTGACAAATATGTGAACTCGCATATCTGAATTTATCTACAATTTCATATGTCTACCAGTGCCTTTTCTTTATTGTAATTTTAGATCTAGATTACCCTGTAATTTAATTTATTCCTAATTATTTCTAATGTCAGACAATTGTCATTAAATTTTATATTGTAGTTGTTCTAAGGGGACTTAGTCCCAGAATAAAATTATTTTTCTTCTTCTAAATAATCCATAACAACGAAAATCTTTAGGTGTGAAAGGAGGAATATTTTTCTTGTTTTGAGGTCCTTAGTTCATTTTTGCAATTTGGCCACTTAATCCTGAACACCCTGCATATCCATAATTATTTCAGAAGAAAAAGATATAATTTAGCTACTTATAAGAAATGGTGTTTAAGCGATTATTGAAGTCCTAATTAAATGTAATTGAACGGACAGTAATGCTTTTGGAGATATTTTTTTCATAAGACATGGTTATATTTTTCCGATTTGGAGGGTGCTTCAACCCGAAAGTCCCCCGCAAATCTTCCTGTGTTCACAGTCCACTTGGTGTCCTATCAACAACGATCTTTTAGTAAGGACATCATACTTTAGGTTTGTTTTTTCCACTTTAGCTACTTTGATTTATCTCAAAGTTTTTGTTTTATTTTTTCTTGGAGTGTTTTATACTATGTTTTGTCTGTTGTTAAACTATATTGTCAAAGGAATTACAAAAAATTATGGGTATCAGCTATTGGAGCATTATTTTGGACTTTTTGAAAGTTGTTGATAGGTCTGTAGTCTTTAAACCTCCATATGGACCATCCAATATTCTTTCATTTAAAGAAACATTGCTAGTGATATGGATCAAATACAAAGCCAAAATAGATTTTCCTATTACAAAATACAGGGTTTTTACAATGATCTGTATTTATTGACAAATTTAAATTGGAAGAAATTAGTTTTATAATAAGGATAAGGATTTTTTTGTTAATATCATATATCTTAGAATGATGGATATAAAATTTCAACACTTTATTCCGCATAATTACATCCTTGTTCTCATTCCTGTCAGCTATAGGAACATTTCAAATCAAACATTGTCAGCCTGAATTCTCTCAATTTTTTCGAGAAAAAATTTATACCAAAATGAGACGAAATTTTGAAATGATCCATGACTACATGTGAACGTTATTACCTATTACACCAACTGCGAGTTATTTTGTAGTTTGTTTGCCTTCCATATTTGTACAGGTAAGATGAAATTCGTAGAATATCGGTGTAAAAATGAATTTACAATATCAGTGAAGAGAAAACAAATTTTGGTTTAAAAAATCCGTTAATATAAGCAGAGCTGTACATGGCAAAAGCCGACAGCGTGATGATTAGTAAAACCTTTATAAAAACAAAATATTGATAACTACGAAAAGAAAATCAAAATTATTATTATTACTATTTTTTTAAAAATTAAATGTGTATTAAACAAAGAATTGATTGAAATTATATGTTAGAAAGGAATTGTTGTTTATTAGATATTTTTACAGTTATACATGTTACATAAATTTAGTGACATTTGACCCCTATATCTTTCTATCTATCGCATAGTGATAAATTTTACATAATTATTACCAAACCGAAAAGAATTATGTAATTCCGTCATACTATCTAGAATCAGGGTGAGATGAATTACAGTAGTACTCTTAAAATTGCAGTTTTGTTTAGAGCCCAGCATAGAAGTAGAAAATTTGTTCATTCAGTACAGGTAGGTTTCTTGTTGTCAACTTTGACCGCACAACCTGTTGCATTTATCAGAAGGTTCAAATAATTTTTTCGAGGTGCAGTATTTAACTATGAATAGAATATGTATTATTTAATGAAATATACACATCTTCAGCCTTGATTTATAATATAACTTAATAGTTATGAAAAATTATCATTATTAATGGGTTTAGTATAAATTTATAAATTATTTTTATTACGTTTCGTTATTTGTTTGGAAACATTCTTTTGGTATAGTTTCCTTTTTAAAATGATTTTGGAAAAATGTCACTTATTTTGATGTTTATAAATAAGGAAACAGTTATTTTACAATGTTTAATATGATATATAGTGACCATTAAATGTGATTTAATATATAAATACAAAATATTTTTCTTTGGATATTGTTTTTGTTATTGACTTCCATGTTTTCTTACTGTTGACTAAAATAAAAATGATTAATACTTTAATACTTTTTTGGGGGTGCTTTTTACCTTTTTTTTCAATCTATTTTTTCAAACTGATAATTTATCAAGTTATTTTTATTTAATGTCTTATACAAAATCATTTTTATTCACTTCTTAGAATTTATATATTAGTATATAACAAATTTTATTTTAATAACTTTTTATATTAGTTTCTAATGATTTGATTATTATCCTATCTTTCCTCAGTCCTGATATAGGCCTGAAACTTAGGCCTCGAAAGCTCAAAATTACATAATTTAGTTTTATTTGTGTTTTTCATTATGACAGCAACCCTCAACTAACTTCCCAACCATATTTTTATTTAGGTTTCCCTATTATATCATGTAGTATCAGAGTTTAGTAGATCATGATTCGTAGTAATGAGAACAAAACTGAACAGGTCGATTTTAGGAGATTGTTGCATGAATTAATTTCAATATGAATAAATAATAATAATTTTTTTTTAGAAAACCGGTGATCACGTTTTACGTTGTATTTATTCAATTTAAGTGAGATACTGCCCTGTCTCTTTTATAAGTTTTTATATTTATTTTAATCTTTAATCAATATTAATATTTTACTTAATTTTTATATTTTCATGTTTTTCTCTCTGATTAACTTATATCCATCTGAACGCTTTGGATTTGTTTTTATTTTTAGTAGGTTTCTGTAATGTAAATATGTTTATTGGCATCGAAAAAAATGTGTAATATTTTTCTTTTTTTAAACTCTCCTTGCAACTTTTTTGCTGAAAGTGGAATGACATGAAGGTAGAGGTCATATAATGATATAGCTCTCTAACAAATGTAAATTTGAAAATTAATTTAGGAGATCCCTATTCAAACGGATTTTTTATTTTTCTGTTTTATTTTGGCATCACAGATCTTGTTTTCCCTCTTAACAAGCCTGCTCCACTCTGGCTATCTTGGGCTATTTCTTTCCAGTTATCTGCATGCAGCTCTATTACATCTTTGTTGATTCTATCTATCTATTTGTTTTTTTACCTTGTGGTCTTTTTCCTTCTATTGAGGCATTCATTGTTATGTAGAGGTTTCCTTATGGGTTGCTCTAAGCTACGTGCCCCTTCCATCTTAGCCTTCTTGCCTTCATATCATGAGGTACTTTTCTTCAGTTTTCAGTTTTCTTTCTTCTCCATGTGTTAGTACTCTGTTCTCAGATCGCTCCGGTTATCATGCTGAGAATTTTTCTCTCAAATCTTTCAATAATCTTTTCCAGTGTGCTGGATATATATTAGATCCATATATTAAAACTGGCTTTATCATAGCATCTTACACCCTTAATTTGAGATTTTTTGGGATTTTAATTCCTTTTAAAGGGAGAAAAAAAGCTCTGTTTGTGCTAGTTATACACTGGTCTATTTTTGACCTTTGGTCATTCATTAAGGATATTGTGGATCTGAGGTATTTGAATTTTTCTACTCTTAGGAATGATTTCCATTTTTTGCAAACCCTGTTATTGGGGTAGAATTTGTGGCTATCATATATTCAAACTGTTACCCACAGACAATTATAAACTGCATATTTATTTTTTTTTTTTTAGTGCATTTTATTTAAATAGTTGTTGCAAAAAATGTTGGGCTTCCATTCGATGAAAGAAGTAACAAATTTATTATGTCTTTAAAAGAGTGAGATTTTTGTAATTAAAAAGTCAATATTTAGGTTTGCAATATAACTAATGAATTTTATAAAGATAAATGAAATTACAAAATATAAGAATTGAAAGTCTTGATCTGGAAATGTGGTGTTGGAAAACCAGTAGATAATGAAAATTTATCAGGGATTAAAACATTATTATAATTCTCTTGACATAATGTTTATCATATATATAGAAGAATAAACTTTATTCTGGGACAAAGTCCCTTATGAATAACAATATTGATCATAAAAATTAACATAACATCTGGCCAAAATACATATTACAATAAAATAATAACTAAAACATAAGTAATAACAGAAGTATTTACATAGCTATACAGATATATTAAAGAAAGAATATGAGCAATAAGGTCACAATACTGTAAAATAGTTGCTACAAACAACAAACTATAAAATAATTAAATGGAATTTAAAATGAACTATAAATTGCTTTTGTTATCAAACCATTGTAGTAATGAAAAAAACAATAATAAAAGAGTAGATAAATATTTACTATAAATGATTTACATCTGTACCTTAATATGTTCAAATGAATACAATAATAGTATTGTAAACATTACACAAGTCTTATATAGTCTATATCCTAAGATGTAGATTAATCGGAGAAAATAAAAAGTGATATACATATAGGGGAGTGCATTCAATATTAATAATCAATTAAATACATCTCAAAAACTTAAAATCTTTTAAATTGAAAAATTAACAAAAAACAATCAACAATATATATATATATATTCTTTTTTGAGTATGGAAAAGATGTCCAGTCACATTCACTGAGGATTGTTTTTTGTTAGTTTTTCAATTTAAAAGATTTTAAGTTTTTGAGATGTATTTAATTGATTATTAATATTGAATGCACTCCCCTATATGTATATCACTTTTTATTTTATTTTTTTTTATTTTATTTATATATATATATATATATATATATATATATATATATATATATATATATAAATTTTTTTTATTTTATTTTTTTGGTTGGCGCTACATATCATGAAGATCTTTGACCGCGAGATGTAGTCTCCTAAACCACATCAGGTCATCAGTCCTACACTCGTATATATATATATATATATATATATATATATATATATATATATATATATATTTTTTTTTTTTTTTTTTTTTCGGTTGGCTCTACAGACCTTGTAGATCTTTTGCCGCCTGAACCAGCCTTCTCCAGCTCTGCCTACCTTGGGCTTCTTTCCAGTTTGTGGTATGAAGCTCAGCCATTTCTTTGTTTATCTTATCTATCCATCTAGTTTTGGGCCTCCCACGTGGTCTCTTGCCGACTACTTCTGGCATTTTTTGTTGTGTAAAGGTGTCCTGATGGATTTCTACGAGCTACATGCCCCGCCCATCTTAACCTCCTTGCTTTCATGTCATGAGGTATTGACTGACCCGTTTCTTTCAGCATTCTTTATTGTTCCTTCTCCTCCATGTGTCAAGATTCTGGTCCCATATAGGTCCTGTTATCCTACGTAGAACTTTTCTTCCGAATCTCAATTCTGGCTTCTAGTGTGCCGGTTAGAGCCCAGGTTTCACAACTGTACCGCAGAACTGGATTATCACAGCGGTGTACACCGTTATTTTTAGATTTCTGGAGAATTTTTTGGATTTCAGTACCCTTGAAAGAGAGAAGAAAGATCTATTCGCACTTGTTATTCGCTGGTCTATCTCTGTTAGTTGATCATTTATTGAGGTTATTGTGTAGCCGAGGTATTTGAACCTGTCTCCTTTCGGGAATGACGTAGAGTCCTCTCTTCCTCTCGCTGGCTTTTGGGTCTCAAGGAATCTTCGCAGTCTCCCCACCTGACTTTGAGGGTCTGGCCGGGTCCTCCATCTCTGCTACCTCCTTATTGTCATTCCAGCTTACTTACGGAAATCCTATCATCCAGTTACTCAGTGGGCCAGTTTCCTGTCCCACCATCTGGCACCTGAAATTCTCGAGTTCTTCCAGGGGTTTCTGCTTTTTGGCCAGTGCTCTCTTATATTCAACACTGCCCTCCTCCATAAGCTTCTCAGCCATGTTATTAGGGTGAATGTTTCGGCTAACTATCATGTATTTTGTTTCATCTACATTGACTTGTAGTCTGATTTGCTCTGCTTCTTTTAACAGAGTGCGAGCGAGAAATCTCAATATCCTCTTGATTACTTCCCAGGACAGCTATATCATCCGCATACGCTATGATTTTGTGTTTCATTCCAACGTCCACCCCTCCATCTTCGCATGATGTTGTTCTTATTACTTTCTCTAGTGCTAAGTTGAACAGCATCGGCAAGAGTCCATCTCCCTGTCTCAAACCCATTCGAACTTCAAAGGCTTCAGATACTTCTCCTTGTATTAGTACCCTGCATTTAAGATCATTTGTACACACCTTCGTCAACCTCACTAACTTTCTGGGAACACCCAGCTCAGTCATGGTCTTCCAGAGACAGTTTCTGTCCACAGAGTCATAAGCTGCTTTGAAGTCGACAAATAATATGTGTACGTCCTGATCTACTTCCCATCGTTTTTCAAGTACTTGTTTTAGGATGAATATCTGATCTAGCGTACTCCTCCCTCTCCTGAATCCTGTTTGATGGTCGCCCATTATGTTTTCATAATATGGATATATCCGATTTAGCAGAATATTAGTCATTATTTTATAGGCGACCGGAAGAAGTGCTATGCCTTTGTAATTGTCACATTCATACATGGAGCCCTTCGTAAGGATAGGACAGATCAAACCTGTGTTCCATGCTTATATATATATTCCATATCTTCTGGATTAGATCTAACAGCTTGGCTGTGAGTTCTTCTCCCCCATCCTTGAACAATTCTGATGGTAGGTTGTCTATTCCTGGAGCCTTTCTTCTTTTAAGCCTGCCGATAGCTATTTTCACATCCAGAATATATAGTTTTTTAACCTCAAGTGGGTCGATGTCCTCAGTATGGTCAATGTCTTCTTCGTTTGTGGGGTGCCCTTGCTTAAGCACCTGCTGGAAGTGTTCCTTCCAGATGCTTAGGATCTTTTCTTTTGATGCCGTCAATTTGCCATCTTTCCCTTGAATTTGTGTATTTCTTGCTTTATATCCTACCCTTTCTTTTCTGATATCTGCCAAGAATTTGCATATATTTCCAGCCTGCCAGTTTTCCTCAATAGTTTGTAATCTTTCTTTGAGGAATTCTCTTTTGGTTGTTCTTATTATTTTGTTTGTCTTTTTCCTGGCGGCTGTGTATTTGTCCAGCATAGCTTGATCAGTTTGTAAGCAGAGGACTTTTCTTCTTTCTTCCACTGCCTTTTCATATGCTTCTGTGAAACATTTCTTGGCTTTGCTTTTTTCCTGAATCCTTATTGCTTCCTTAGCTGTTTGTTTTAGCCCTGACTCTAGTTCCTCCCTGTGTTGGTCAACCGTGAGGCCTTCCGAGTTCAAGGATTCAAATTTATTTTTCAGCTCAATTTGAAATTCAGCTTGTACTATATGGTTTTTCAAATTACGGACTTCGTACCTCTTTCTTTCTGCTTGGTCCCCAATTCAGTGGATTCGCTTCAGCCTCTGACAGAGTTTGATTCTAATCAAAGTATGGTCCGAATCACAGTCTGCTCCACGATAACTCCTTATATCTGGTATGGAGCTTTGATGCCTCTTGTCTATCAGCACATGGTCGATTTGGCTTTTTGTTCCTTTAGAACTTAACCAGGTATACTTAAGTCTGTCCTTGTGCAGGAACATTGTACTGCTTACTACTATACCTTAAGCTGCTGCCAGATTAATACATCTCACTCCATTGTCATTGCTAGTTTCGTGGAAACTTTGGCCTCCGATGTTCGGTTTAAATTGGGTTTCTCGACCTATCTTGGCATTGAAGTCTCCCATGACTAATTTTATGTCATATTTTGGAGCTTGGTCCTTTCTAACTGAAAGTAGAAATCGTCCTTCACGTCATCCTTTTTTTCTTCGGTTGATGCATACACGTTAATAATCGTGATATTAAACCAACGACCTCTTACGTGCAGCACTCTTATCCTTTCATTAACTGAGGTGAAGTTTATTACTGACTTCCTTGCGGCTGGATTAACTATAAATCCAGTGCCAGCTGTCCCATTTTTGTCATTTCTCACAGTGCAAAACAGTGTGTAGCTGTCTATAGTGGTTTTTCCACCATCTGGCAACCTTACCTCTTGAATGGCTGTTAACGGTATGTTGTACCTTTTTACTTCATTAACTACTGTTTGGGCGGCTCCTGGTCTGTATAAGCTCTGAACATTCCATGATATACACACACACATATATATATATATATATATATATATATATATATATATATATATATATATATACAATTGATACATAGAGAAAAATGAAATTTTGTTACATAATAAATCGCTACCCAGCGTGTGATTGAATTGTAAGGAGGAATTGAATTAAGAGGGTTTTAAATATGGATAAGGATAGTGCATGGCGGATTTTAAGTGGGATGGGATTCCAAAAGGTGGTGGAGCAGATAATAAAGGAGTATTGAAATCAGGCAAATTTATGGAAAGGGGTGTAAAAGTCAGAAGGATGAGATCTTGTGGAGAGGGAGTTGATAGATGACTTGAATTTAAGGAGATTGTATGCGTAAGACGGATGTTGGTTATAGATTATTTGGTAAAGGAATGTGCCTAGGAAATTGACTGCACAAGATGGAGATTGACTGCACTTTATTATATTACATTTTGCAATAATGAATCATGGTAACTAATCACAACGAACATTTATTGAGTTGTAAATTCCAGAGTAACGGCATTGGAATGGTATCGATTATTTGGAAAAGTTTTGTTTGGGGAATGGAATGGGTAAACACTAAAAATTTGTAATGACTCATCCCTAATATGTATTTCTTAGAAGTACTTTTTTTGACCCATTCTATTTCATACAAAAAAGACTCATTGTCTTCATTTGTAGCAGTTTTCTTTATGAAAATTGGTTTGCATGGTAGTGGGGGACTATGCACTAGTTCTGGAGCAACAGCCATATCAGTAGCTGATGAATTTTGAATATTATTTATACTTTGAATTCTAATAACATCATATTTATCTTTTACTATTTCTTGGGGCAATTTCTTAGGTTGAATATCTTTCAAAGTATGTTTAGCTTCTATCTTTATAAAGCCATTTATAAACCCTTTCATATCTCACTTGTTTTGCAGGATCACCAATGAATGGTCTAAAACCTAACTCATCAGAACTTTTGTCTTCTTCAGTCTGTATTTCTTCATTGAGATCAGTTTCGACTTCCTTTCAATGGTCAGGCAATTCTCCTAAAATGATCGCTCTGTCAGAAGAATTAATTATATCTTCTCCTTTCACTGCCTGGACATTTCCAACAACTTCAGAACCAAATTCTAATTTTCTTTGAGTAATATTTGGACCAAAGTCAGGTTGCAGTTTAGGAGATGGAAAATATTTCTATCAGTGACTTTAGATTTTAGCTGGTATAAGGCCTTCAATGCAATTTTAATTTTCAGTTACAGCAAGCATTTCTTGTTCTTTTTTTGTTTCTTTCCTTCTAGTCTCCTTCAAACTAGCACAGACTTTCAAAGAAAGGTCATATCTGGACATATCATTTTTAGCATATATCTCTTCATCTTCATCCTCAAATGTTCTAATGCTCTCTTCATTAGCATCATTTTTAGCATATATGTTGTCATCTTCTTCCTTAAATGTTCTAATGCTATCTTCCTTAGCATATATGCCTTTATCTTCATCCTTAAGTGTTCTAGTGCTATCTTCCTTAGCATCATCTTTATTATATATGTTCCCATCTTCATTTTCAAATGCTCTGATACCAAAAACCTTGCCATGGATTGATGATGTCTATTTATTTTCACATACTTTCAAAGGAGTGTCAAACAAACAAAATCTTCTTTTGCCCAACCCTGAATTAACACAATGTTGATCGTTATTTTTAATTGAAATTTTACCACCTTAAATGACATTCTGGTACTTGATTTTAACAATCTCATACCTTTTCCTATACCCATTCGCCATTTCCTCTTCTGATATCATTTCTTCTTCGGATACATCATTTTCTATTGAAAGATCAAATATTTCCTTCTGAATCAATTCGAAAATCTCTGACTTCTTCAGAAGGTCTGAGCAAGCGGATATTTCTCCCAAATTAATAATATCACTACTGAGCAACTGTTCTAACTCATTAGCGCGCCTCATAAAGTCAGCACGGAAAATTCTTATCATCTTCTTACCTTCCATTGAACTCAGTCAACATACTAGAAAATGGAGTACTCAACAGGTCCTGTCACGGTCATCACTTATGTTCGGGTTATGAGTCAATATATAACTAACTGTTATATTTGATCCCTTGTTTCAAATAAAATAAAGTTAAGTTCTCTGAAATTTAAATAAACTAACTTTTATTTCAACACAAACTTTACAAAGAGATTTTTGTAATTTGAGATTTTTAGGATTTTTGCAACAATAATAATTATTCAAATACGAATATTTTTAACATATTTGAAATCATTTAAATATTTATAAAATAAAAATCACTTTTTACTAATTTCCTAACACACACATATGTGTGTATATATATATATATATATATATATATATATATATATATATATATATATATATAGAATAGAAGAATAGAATAGAATATATATATATATATATATATATATATATATATATATATATATATATATATATATATATATATAGGGTGACTAGTAGCGGATAACCTGCCACTCCTCCTGGCTATCCAAGGTTGTATAAGCAATTATGTCTGTAAGAAGAACATATTGTGTGACCAAAGATCTATATGGTCTATAATCCCAACAAGAAAAACAAATGTGTGTGTCATTTTCAGAGATCAAGGTAGCTCAGTGTGGAAGGTATTGTGTTCCTATTTCCCAGATAGATTAAAGTGAGTACTCTTTATTGGATGAAAAAATCTACCAGTTGAGTGTGATCTTAGTCAAATCACTTTCTTGCACAATTGTTGGCCTAGAAACAGCACTTCCCTATTGATTATTCAAACTAAAGGGTTGGGATACAGTTGGTTATTTTATGTATTTTTCATAAATAAATTAAGTGAAAAATTCTTTTATATTGAAGTAAGTCTATTTAAGAGTCATGTCTTGTTACAGAGATTCTTTTTTGTTACAATGGCTGGATTTGAAAATGAAATGGGAAGATTGCTGTCTGGAACAGCTATTTCTAAGTAAGTTAACATTTATTTTTCGTACAATTAATTTTATATTAAGCCTTGTATAAATGTATTTTCTTTCTATGTAATTTATTTTTGTTGTAATATATTTTAATTATCTTAATACCTGGCTATCTAATTGTTATATTATTCCATTCAACTAACTGTTTTGATATGATAAATATCATTTCAATATATTTTTATTTATATGAGATTATGGTATTAATAGAGTTCATGATATTAGTACTATTAAACTTAAATCCATAATTGAGATTATTTTTTTGAGCGAAGTAATCCAATGAATTAAATAGGTATTTGATATTGCCAGTTTGAAAGGAAACAACTCCAAAAAAATGAGTAATTTACCAGCCAATTAAAATTTTGCAAATCTTATCTGGTTTTAAAACTGATTCATAAAACATAACCCTATCAGTGCCATGTATCACTTTAATAATTATTTCATAAAATCTTGATGCATTATGATGTTGATTTATGTTAAAACTTGAACAATCAAAATTTTGAAGACATCATAGTCTGGTTCCAAACTAGCAGTATGATAAGACGATGTGAAATGTTATTTACAAAGTAAGATATTTTTTTGATCACTGGAAATCCTTTGATATTTTTTCAACTGTTGAGGTTGAGGTTTCACTCCATTTTGTGATGTTGAATGTTTTGTTTTTTTACTCAAAAGCTCTCATATCTTTTCTAACCTAAGATGACATCTACATAAGCGAATTGAATCAGAAAAGAATCATAGAAAGGCAAACTTAAAAAAAAAATGCAATATTACAAAATTTTTTAAACACCTCTAATACTTAATTAATGAAGTGGACACTGGAACATTTTATGTATAATATTAAGTTTATAGAGGATTCATCACCGTTTCTTGCTCTATTAGTCCAGTGGAAAAGAACATTGATACACAAGCTTAACATTAATTTTAACTTCTAAGCAACCATATTGTTTTTCATATAAGGAGAATCACACAACCAATTCAACACCCCTCCTGCAATATATATACCCATATGCATATATAGGTACATATATAAAACAATCTCTATCAAAAATAATAACAGACATTGCAGAAGAATTTTTATTTATAGGTTAAATATTTTTTGAACTTTAAAGAATTTTAGGACCATCATTAAATGTCTTCAACCATGTTTATTTTACAGGGAAATTTTGAAAAATCTCAATGATGAAGTCCAAGATATGTCTAACAAGCTTGCTGGTTTTAAGCCCGGTCTTGCTATTGTGCAAGTTGGTGGTCGGGAAGATTCAAATGTATACATAAGAATGAAATTGAAAGCTGCTCTTGAAATTGGAATTAATGCTGAGCATATTAAATTACCAAATACTACTACACAAATTGAAGTAATATTATTAGACTGTATTTATGGTTAAAATATATTCCCTTCATTCATATATATATATATTAAGTGTAATTTATTTTGTAGCTGCTGAGCGCTGTGCGAAAATTGAATAATGATCCTCATGTGCATGGTGTAATAGTTCAGATGCCCCTGGATTCTATTCATAAAATAAATTCTCACCTAATTACTGATGCAGTTTCTCCAGAAAAAGATGTAGATGGGTAAAATTATTCATCAATATTTGTTTTGAACATATACAGAGATTTGTGAATATTTATTGTGGTTTGCATTTTTATGTTTTCAGTTGTAGGTCCTTCTGTAGTATTACTGTTATTGATACTAGTAATAATTATTATTAAATGCAGGGTGTCTACAGTTAGGCTAAACCAGGAAAATTCAGGGAATTTAATTATTCTGGAAAAGTCAGGGATTTTTATCAAACTCATCAGAAAATCAGAGAATTTTCCTAAAATTTATCACTAAAAAGCAAGAGAATAAAATGAATAGTTACTAAATAAATAAATAAATTAAAAAAAGAAAGAAAGTAGATACCCAAACAGCTTTATGTTTTATTTTTGTTTACAAGAAGAAACACCTCACGACTTGCTACATTTTCGAATCTGCCAACAAATATAAAAACTGTAATTACGGGGGTCTGGATCTCAAGATCTAAATTTACTAAGAAATAGATCATAAAAATAAATTTTTTGATCTAAAAAAGATTTTTAACTATTTATTAACAATAGTATGTAGAACAAAAATACTAAAATATTTGGAGAGCTTAAACATTGTTTAACATGAAAAACATAAATGGACATGGTAAAACTGAGTAGCAAACTATAATATTTAAAAAAATTAAATTTTAAGAACTAACAATCCTTTTTTTTATTACTATTTATGATATTTACAACTGTATTAGAAATAAAAATACATTCAGTAAATATGAACACAAGAATATAATAACATGAAACCACTTGTTGAGAAACTACCCACTGGTAGCACTCTAAAGATGTATTTACAACAGGAGATCTCGAGGCCATCTTCTTTTCAGACGCCTTGGAGGGCTATCAGGGATCGAGGAAGAAGCAAGATTAGAAACGAGAGAGTTTGGGTGGTTCTGAAGTTTGTTGTGGAAGGATAGGTATCTGGATTGGGCCAGGTTGGAGAGATAAGGAACATTAAGGTCTTTATGGATGATTTTATTTGTGACAAAGTAAGGAGCATTGAGGATTTTACTAAGGATTTTGGATTGTAAGGATTGGATACGAGCGGAATTTGATAGCTTAGTGAAGCCCCAAAGCTCATCTCCATAAGTCTAAATAGGTCTTGTTGTAATCATGTATATGAGTCTTTTGTAATTAACTAGAAGCTTAGAGCGTTTGTCTAGTAAGTGCTGGAGTAGTCGGAAACGTCAAGCGATTTCTTGTTATTTCAGTCTTATATGAGGATTCCAAGTTAGACGTTTGTTCAAGTGGAGTCCAAGGCATTGGATTTATTCAACAGGGATAAGTGTATTATTAAAGGATACTGTAGGACAGGAGGTCATAGGTTTACGACGAAGGGTAAAGGTGATTTGATGGAATTTGTTTTACTCCTCCAGTTTTGACACCATTCTTCAAGGTTTGTGATGTGTGATTGAAGGGTTTGGGATGCAATGGTTGGGTTATAATTAACGGATAGGAGACATGTATCATCGGCATACATGGTAATGACAGTGTTAGGATGGGTTGGGATGTCAACTGTATAAACTGTGTAATGGGTAGGATCTAGGATACTACCTTGAGGAACACCAGCGAACTGGGAAAAGGGAGATGAATAAGCATTATTGTGATTTACTTTGAAGTATCTATCAGTTAGGTAGGAATGGATAATTAGGAAGTATGTAGGATTTAAGAATTTACGGAGTAAACCAGTCTGGGGTGTCAGACTCGATCAAAAGCCTGTTCTATGTCGAGAAAGACTCCGTGCAGTACATTCCACGGTTCAATGCAGAGGAGACAACATCCACCATACGATGGCATTGCTGGATTGTGGAATGGCATCTGCGGAATCCAAATTGATGATTTGGAATAATGTGATTGGAATCTAGGATAGGGTACAGGCGTTTTAGGACGAGTTTTTCTTGAATTTTTCCCAGTATAGGTAAAAGGGAGATAGGACAATAAGAGGATGGGTATTCTGGTGGCTTAGGGTTTATGTATCATTTTGATAATAGATAATTTCCATGAGTCAGGAAAATATGTGGATCAAAGTACAACATTATATATATAAGTAAAGAATATGATGGCTTTCCGAGGAAGCAGTTTTAGGATCTTGGATGTAATTAGGTCGTGTTCAGGAGCCTTACGGGAAGGTAACCTTTGAATGATATTGGATATTTCTGAAGGATGAAAGGCTTTAGGTGGAAGAGATATTTGGAGTGGAATATCCAGTTCTGCTTCAATACATTCAAGGTGATTTGGGTTAAGAATATCGAAATGTGGATTAAAGGTTTTAAAGAGGTGTTAAGCAAATATTTGGGATTTTTCCTCGTCGGATTTGGACCAGGTTTGAGCATAGGAAAGAAGTGGATGATTACAGTCTTCAAATTTCAGGAGCCTTTTAGTGGTCGTACATAGTGATTTGTTGGTAGGTGTAAGTTTTTCAATAAAATTTATACATTTTTTATTTCCTAATTTCTGATTTTAGTTTGTTAGTCAGTTGGGTGTAACGAGTTTTATCTGATGGATATCTAGTTCTATGCCACTTCAATCTTGCTCTGCATTTTTCTTTTAATAAGATACGAATATGCTTTGGCAAGTTAGTCTTATGCAAATTGTTAATCTTACTGATAAAGGTGTTAGTTATCATTTCTATTGTCTGTTATTGATGTTCTAAGTTTTTCTATGGCACCATTAATGTCTTCTTTTGTCTTTAGTGGATTTTTTAACTCTAGTTCGTTTTCCAAATTATCACGAAATTTGTCCCAGTTTACTTGTCCTGTAATCAATTTAGGAGGTGAAGGTTTAGGAGCATAGTTTGAATGTAGTGAAAGCAGAACTGGACTATGTTTTGAAGAAAGGTCATCAAGGAATTTGATTGTGGTTTGGGAGGAGGAAATCTGGGAAGTGATAAATATATCCAGGATATTGGGACTTTTTTTGAGGGATGTTGTCCAATAAGTAGGATTCATGGGTGAAAAGATTGAATAATTGTTCGAAGATGTGAAACGTGATAGGATGTTACCGCAGGAGTTGGATGTTCGACAACCCCATCGTTGGTGTTTAGCATTGTAGTCTCCTCCAGCAATAAAGCGCGATTCTAGGGATTGGAATAAGGAATCAAGGAGGTTATACGAGATGGAATTACCAGGACAGTATACAGCTGAGAATGTGAGATGAAAAGGGAGAATTGAAAGGACTACAGAAGTTGATTGAATGGCATCAGTTGGAATGAAAAGAATAAGGGAATGGGGTAAAGATTTATGTATAAGGATGCAAGAACCAGCATGGGAGGTGTTGTCTGGATGGTCAGATCTATGAGTGAAGTAGTCACGTATGTAAAATTTTGTCCGTTTAGTAAAATGAGTTTTAATCAATAGAGCAATATCAATGTAATTATTATGAAGAAATATGTCAAGTTTGTCACGGTGGTTATGCAGTCCATTAGTATTCCATAAAAGAATAGTTAGGGGCTTTGTGCTCATCATGAGAAATTGAAGGGAATTTTGGTGAGAAGAGTGATAATAGGTTTTATAGAATAGAAGTTATGTCAGATGGATGTTGATTGTGGAGTGGATTTAGGATAGGTTCTTGGGGTGGATTATGAGAGTTAGCTGAGGGCGGGATCCGTCTTTGTGCACAAGGTGGGTCTGGATTGGAAGATACTTAAGCTGGAGTTTTTTTCTGGAAATTAGGAGAAGATGAGTGAGGATGCTATGGCGGTAATTTGACTCTTCAGAGTATATAATGAGCAATAATTTCCTAACGTGGAGGATGAGATTAGGAATTGAGAGGTCTGAGGCGCTTGACGTTGAGGCTGCTGCTTCTTGATGGCGGTTTGTGTTTTTCTGGAGTCCTGACGAGGTTGATCAATTTCTTTTGGAGTAGAAGGTAGTTGTTGAATATTTTGAGTAGTTGTTTTTGGCAAGACAGGAAAATTTGACGGATTGTCATTTCAGGTGGATGGATGAAACTTTCTTGCTTCCGATTTGTGCTTTTTAAAGCTATGTTCTGACCTCTCTCCTTATAAAAATGTTTATAAACTTTGCATCCTTTGTACTTTTCTGAATGTTCTTCACCACAAAGGGCACATTTCGCAGGCTGGTCTCGAGGTCTCTGACAAGTGTCAGATGCGTGTGGGCCATCACATTTCACTCATCTAGCCTGATGATGGCAATAGGTCTTTGTGTGCCCCAAGTCTTGACACTTAGTGCATTGCACTATTATAGGCTTTTGTTTTGGCTCTTAAAATTTAACGGTGGAATATACAAGCCTCTTCACTTGAAATATTTTGATGTTATTGCTGGCAGAGTTTTTGAGAGTTTTTAGTCATAATAAAGTAGGTGCGATACCCCTTTTTTGCTTTAATTAACTTTCTTAACTATGACCATAACCTGTGATTTACCCAAGGTGTTTAAAAAATGATTTATTAAGAAAATATGAAATTTATATCGTGCAGAACTGCCATGTGATAATGGATATGTGTCATCCACAATATTTTCCAGTGTGTCTAGAGTGAAGGATTTATATATCAAGTTCATAAGGAATATAGAAAATAGTTGGTGATATGTTGTAATATGAAATTTCCTTTTTATTTTTAAAATAAAACCTTGAATTCAGTAAGAACAAATAATAACAATCATCACTGTGGGTTTTAGCCAAACCCATAGGTCCATTTCGTTTTATTCCAAAACAAAACGATAACTTCTTATCTTGGAAACAATGTGCTATATAAATATATTGGTCTGAAATCAATTTGTTAAAGATATGTTGCCAGTCAAGACTTCCTTATAAAGATGGTATTTTACTCTCCATCTCAGCCCATATCACCAATGCAATCCTCTTCTCTTTCAAATCTCTTTGTGAGTAGATAGTAGTTATATTATTTAATAGAAGCCATATTACTTATGCTTGTGCCTTTTATTTACAATTAATTTAAATTCATTTAGGTTCCTTAATTATTTTCATTATTGGATTTATGTTATCATTAAGTTACTTCACTTCATTTTCTACATACATACCAGTACAGCGAGTTCACTAAGTCTATATCTTATTTTTACCCATCTTTATTCCTTTGTGTGAACAATCTGTTTCAGATGTGAAAGTCTTGTGAAGTTATAATAATACTACTACAAGCACATATAATAATATTTGTTTAATTTGTATTAGTTTAGCATGCATCATGTTTTCATTTTAATTTTGTATACCTGTTTAGTTCGTGTCGATATTATAAACCCACTGGTTCTGCAAAATATACTGTAAATGCCCCTCGGATGTGGTTTTGATAATCTAAGTTTCTCATATAAATTGAAATATGAAAACTTAAAACAAAAAGACTTAAATAAAACTAAGAAACTTTTAAATATTGAAAAAGAAGTTGACAATGTATAAAAATTTCTTGCATTGTGGGGTAGAGATGATACACAATAGACCAACATTCGCATAATTCATTGCTCTCTTGCATTAGTTGCACACAAAGTGCCAAACTCCAATCCACAGTGAATACTACAAATAGTTTTGAAGACATTATTTTTTTTTAGTTTTTGCTTTTATTGGTAAAATTGTTTAGAGCTATGTTCAATTTTTTTTTACTATACTAGATTTTCTCAACTATTAAAAAAAAAATCGTGCTTTCAAAGAATTTTATGTTTTTGAGGTTCGAGTTATTAGAGTGAACTATATTAGCCTTAATCTTCTGTTCTTATTTTTTGTCTTTCGATTGTCATAAATGTTTAAAATTCTACTATTCTGTTGACTGAAATGTAAGCCAAATTATTAAATGAGCAAGTTTTGATCAGTGAATGTTGATAAAACAGTTTGTCACCATTAAAGAAGTGTAGGCTTTCTCCTTCAGGTATGTTCACATCTTTCTAACAATTTGACAAAATTATGTTTGCTTATCCTAATGTAATGGTTTCATTTCTGGAGTTGCGATCCAATTTGTAAAATCAATACTCGGTATTACCCACATCTAATTTTGGTTTGAATCAAACATATTTATTATTAAATTAAAGTATAAGTATAATTTTATATCCTAATGTATTTTGGCTGTTTTGGGAATTGTAATAATAAATTGAAGTCTTTATTTGTTTTTAGGCTGAATACAATTAATGAAGGGAAAGTTGCGATTGGTGACCTGAGTGGTTTTATGCCTTGTACACCTAACGGTGTGATGGAGTTAATTAGAAGGTAACATTTTATTTTTGTTTTATCTCACTTTTACAACATTAGATTTCGTCTGAAAATATTAAAGAAAATGAAGTGTAATATTGACAATAGATGGTAATTGGTTATTGTTTTCTTTAAAGTTATACTAGGTTGTTACAAAAATCTTTGTAGATAAATTAAGCTTTATTAAATTTCAGTATATATTAAAATTCTTCTGTAAAATATAGACCATCATTATTAATAGCCCTGCAGGGATGTGGCCTAGAATTTCCCTGACGTATTCTCTGCGTGTTGTAAGAGGCGACTAAAAGAGAACCCTTCTTTCCTTTAGGAAGAGGGACCCTCCTGTAGCCTGAATGTGGTGGCAAGAAAGCCTGTTTCAGGTCAGTAGCGGCGGCAATACCATCTTAGGCCCTGAAGCAAGAGGGGAACCTTGCTTGCAGCTATAAAAAGGAATAACTTCAGCAAGACTGGTCGTCCAGGTTGGGGGTTGTGCGTTGGGCTGGTTACCCATCCACAGAAAACAATCAACACTGCGAATCCTGAAAAGAAAAAGCCGGACTTATCTCACGGAAACGACTTAACGCCTGTATAACTGATTTTCAACTCGGAACTTGGAACGTTTTGTCATTATATCGACCTGCAGCACTTCACCTGCTCTTAACCCAACTTGACAACTTTGGGGTAGACATTGCTGCAATCCAGGAGGTAAGGTGGACGGGGACTGGAATTCTAAAGAAGAGTGGCCACACCATGTATTACAGCTGCCATAAAAGGCTGCAACACTTGAGCACTGGCTCTGTGGTTGGCAGAATAGCTTCCCAGTTAATAATTGGTTTTGAGCCAATTGACCCCAGAATCTGCTACCTGTGCGTGAAAGGCAAATTCTACAATTACAGCCTATGGAGCATCCATGCACTGACGGAACCTTCAGAAGGTGAGGACAAGAACGCATTTTACTCCGTGTTGGAGCGGAACATTGACCAAAGCTCACAATCGGACATAAAAATTGTGATCAGAGACTTCAATGCCCAGGTCAGGAGGGAAATGGCCTACAAACCATCAATTGCAATGAACAGTCTGCATGATGTATCTAATGATAATATGATGATATGGAAGACGCATGGTGGGTCTGGCTGTTTCAAGGGGACTTTCCTATAATATCCAAACTCGACCGATTCAGTCTAGAACCCTCACTTTCGTCATCTGGAAAACCTCACTTGTGAAAAGATACTACATGATCTTGAATCCTTAGACTGAAATGGGAGGATGGGATGGCCGGGCACGTTGGGTCATGAGTCCCAGAATGCTCGGTTCTGAACTGGGTTCGATTCCCACCTGGGTCAAATTTTTTTATACATTACAAAAAAATAATGATAAAAAAATGTTAAAAAAGGTTACTTTTTAAATTTTAAGGGTTCGGTGGCCCCGGGAAATGGATCGTGACATTCCCACTCTGCCAAGTATGCGGCGGCTACCTTGGGGTTGGCAACAACCCCCATCAACCCATTGGCACCAACTCCATCAGGAGTTGACAAAACGGACCACTATAGGTCCACTTGCTGGACTAGTTCCCCCCACCAGTATCAGTACCAGTACCAGTAGACTGGATTGGAATTTATTCCTGCTCTTCCATTGACTCCTTGATTGATATTCTTACCTCCAATCTTCTCAATATCCTTAATATCCATGCCCCTATAAAAACCTCTACCTTTCGTCGTCGGCCTGCACCTTGGATATATCAGAAAATTAAAGATCTGCAGAAGAGACGTGATGCTGTCCATAGGCGGTTTAGACGTACTATACTTGCAGGCGACTTCCAAGTGTTTAGAGTACTATGCAACTTGACACAATCAAGGATCCGACGAGCAAAATCTTCTTACTTCCATGAATCCCTTTCCTCAGATCCTGATAACAAAACTAAATGGTCATTCCTTTGAAAACTTTCCCTTTTATATTTTACTGTATGTTATTTATTTTACTTGGTTCTCATCTATTAGGGGAATTTATTTAATATTTACTGTTATTCCTTTCTTGTTTATCTCTTTTTATCATTATTTATTCTTTATTTTCTTAGCCAAGCATAGGTTATTTTGTTTCATTCTTATTTGTATGTTATATGGCATACATTTTTAATATACTGGTACTAATATACCATTAGTTTGTTTTGGTATATTTTGTTAATTTACATAAGGTTTTCTATTTAGTTATGAAACTTTTCTTATTTAATCTAGTTTCTCGTTTAAGTACTTCTGGTCAGATGTATTTCTTTTATTCTGTTACTTTCTGTTATTCTTAAGAGACTCCGTCCCAGAATAAAATTAATTTTCTATTCTATTATATTATGTATATTTATAATAGTTGATGTAACATTATTAATTTTACTTTATAAGACAAAACTGGTTTATTGGGCTTCAATTTTTTTTTTCAATAGTACATTTTATTTTTGTTTACCTAATTCAACACTTATATTGCAAATATTTTTTTATACTTAACAATTATTTAAATTTTATTTAAAAATTAATTATGTATTTATATATACTGAAGTAGAAATCTTTTATTTGGATTTTTGAACATTTATTTTTAATTAATTACAATAAATCAATTTGGTAATCGCATTGTAATAAATTTGAGCTGCAATAGAATTCAAGTGATAAAGAAAGTATATAAGATTGATATTCTACGTTTTAAATAATAAAAAAAGGCTCACATTTAACTAAAATTGTGAAATAACCATGTCTAGGAGGTGTGGTGGGAATTAGGGGTGTGGCCAGAGTCCACTGTAACATCAAAGACAAAATGGCGAAGAGCATGTTGGAGCGTGGGATTCCCGAGTTCCCGGTTCTGAATGTTGTGGATTTGATTCCCACATGAGTCGGGATAATTTTCATTTCTCAGAGGAAATGAATCTTGACATTCCTACTCTGGTAGTTACTTGGGATTGGCAAAAAAGACCAAGTAGCCCTCTTGCCAGATTAGTTCCCTCACCAGTACCAGTACCACTGGAACATGATGTAACGGATGTGTGGTTAATGATTTTTATTTATTTTTTTTGTGATGCTAAGTCAAACATTATTAAACCCATGGGTTCTTGTCAATGGGCCTTAGGAGCCTAATACAGCTCTAGGAGAAAATAAAAGGTATAAAATTGTATTATTTTTTTTAGGGAGCGAGGTAGCTTAGTGGGTAAAATTGTAAGCACTTATTACACAAGGTTCTGGGCTCGAATCCGGCGTTGTATGAGTTATATAAACGTGTTATATAAACACCTGATGAAAGGTAATTTTTATCAGCCGTGGATCGACCGTGGGGTGGGGAAACCTTCCTGGGGTACACCCAGCCTCTATAAAGTGGGTACTCTTAATTAAATAATTAATTAAGAAAACCTGGCAGTCGAGTGTGATCCTGGCCTGATCATTTTGTAACCATTGGCCTTGAACAATTCTTCCTTCCTTATAGAGCACTAAACTCAAAAATGTTCATCATTCATGGGTTGTAGTGGTACAAGTTTTAAAAAAAATATTTTTGTATATAACTGTTTTATGACTTACCCCTGCATGGATTAGTTATTATATATCAATTTATTTTTTTATTTTTTTTTTTTTGTTTAAAATAAGAAAAACATATAACAAATTGTATTAAACGAATTCTAATGTGTAATAAATCACAAAAAGCAAAAGACACTTCCAGTAAATTGGGTCAAGTCAAGTTTTATAATGAAAAACTATTCAGATTGTTTTTAGTATCCTTTAAAACTCTCAAATACGAATTTATTTTGAAATAAAAAATATAAATTTCTAGAATATAATTTTATGAGAGTATTTTTTTTCATGCCATTTACTTAAACATTCATAACTCCTCAAGATTTTTTCTTAAATAAATGTTACTACAACTGTTGAAAAGCTAAATTATTCCCCTTCAAAACTCTTAAACTCTTAATATTTTGTAATAATAAGAAAAACATTGCTGATTGTTTTAAACAAATTCTAATGTATAATAATAAATTACAAAAAATAAAAAAAAAGCTTCTAATAAAGTGGGCCAAGTATATTTTTGTCATGAAAAAAATGATTTTTTTTTTTAGTGTCCTTTAAAACTTTAAAATATTTTGTGGGAATAAATATTTTTATATATAAAAACTTATAAATAGATGCAGAGCTAAATCCTAAAACTGTAATATAAATAAAATAATAAAATTTTATTTTATTTTTTCTCAGCTCCTAGGGCACTGTAATAACATAATGAGCTTAATAGCTAATAATAGATTAATAGGTAATAATTTACAACTCAGATTTCATATTATTAATCTCGTCTTGTTGATGTTTTCACTTCTATTTTATGATATAAAGCACACACCTTAGTTTTTATCTCAATTCCATCTTTTTCTAAAATTTGGAGAAACATTTGAAGTTGTAGAGTCTTAATTTAATGTTTAACGTTGGTGTAAGGTCTCTAAACTTTAACTTGGTGCTATTATTCACCTAACATGCTTCAAATATAAGTGTTCTCCTGAGAATTAGAATCTATCTGGGTCATGCAGTATCTGAAAGAAATGGAATTCATGAAGAAATTATAATAAGGTTATAGATGTGAAAAGTTTATTATTTCTTTGTAGACAAATTATTTCAGTCTGTATACTCCTTTAAGTTGTTTGGTTAGTAAGTAGTGAAGTAAAAATTTTGTTATGAACTTATATTTAGTTGATATAGAATTCTAAATAGTATGTTTTCTTTTTTCATTACTATGTTAACTTTGTTTTATAGAAGTGGCATAAATATTGTTGGAGCAAATGCTGTAGTTTTGGGTAGAAGTAAAATTGTTGGCACTCCTGCAGCTGAATTGTTGAAATGGGCAAATGCTACAGTAACTGTTTGTCATTCTAAGACAAAAAATATTGAAGAAATAGTAAGAAATTTATTGTTTATTGCTACTAAATTTATACCTTCTTTATTGTAAAATAAGCATTAAATTGATATCAATTGTGATACCACCCATATTTGTGGTAATTTTTTTTTTTTGAAGAATTATTAAAGAAAATATTTTTATATTTCAATGCATTTGAGTTCTACCAATGGGTAGTTTCTCTTCATGTTGTACATGTCATGTTACCAATGTCACATTTATTTGTTATATTTTCCATGTAATACAGTTGTAAATTTCATTAAAATAAAAGTATTTTAATGCCCTTACTCATAAATAAAATCTTCAGATTCCCAAAATAAAGGTATTCAATTTTATAAAACTGTATCTGTTTTAATTTTTAGGTGGCTAGAGCTGATATTGTAGTAGTTGGTATTGGAGTCCCATTGTTTGTGAAAGGTTCATGGATTAAGAAAGGAGCTGTAGTAATTGATTGTGGAATTAATTCCATACCAGGTGAGGTATTCAATGTTTGTAAATTATTAATTTAAATTAGTATTCTTCTCTAATTCTTTGGGAAGATATTTTGTATATTATGAAATCTAGCATTCATAAAATCTCTTATTCATAAAAAAAAAAATCATAGTATCACATTTAACCTTTTGAGATGTTTATCTCTATCTTCAGGACATTCCATTTAATATGTTAAAATAGTTGATATAATCATCTTGCCAATTCATAATTAAAATAAAAATGTTGTGAATACATTTAATTTAAATTATCATCTTATTTTTATTAACATACATCCCTATGTTATCTTAAAATTTGTCTAAATCTACTGTTTGCACTTCAATACTTACTTCTATTCTTAGAATTTTATATAAGATAATAATTTAAACAAAATGTTTTCATATTTTTTTTATTTTAAGTATCTTTGTATATTATTTATTAAGTTATGAATATGAGGATTAATATCCCGATAAGTTAAATGTGATATGATGAATTGTTTTTATTAATTAAAAATGCAATGCTTTTTAAAATATTGCCGCTGCTTTTCACAGCAATAATAAAGAATTATCATTTATGTTTGTTTCTAGATTCAACAAAAAAATCAGGTCAGCGTTTAGTAGGAGATGTTGATTTTGATGAAGCTAAAAATAATGCATCCTTTATAACTCCAGTTCCTGGTGGAGTTGGGCCTATGACTGTTGCTATGCTAATGAAAAATACTGTTATTTCAGCAAAAAAAACACTGCGTAAATTATTATCAACATCTTGGGACATTGTTCCCTTACCTTTAACCATTAAAACTCCTGTTCCAAGGTAATTAGTGGGCCTGGTTAATAAAATTTAATTATTTTGATTGATATGTTTATTAGTTCGTACAGTAATCAAATTTATTTTCTTAAAGAATTATTTTGTTTTATTTTCTAATAAAAGATTGTTTACATAAATAAATAAGGAAAACAGGAAGGAAATTCAATAATTAACCTTTGTAACTGACCTAGAAAAAAAAGTTAATCCACTTCAAAATTGAGGTTGTACATTTCAACACAAGTAGAACCCAAAAATCGTAAAAATAAAATAAAAAACATATGTCTATTCATCATACGGTATCTTCTGTTCTTCAAGACTACAGGGCCGATCTTTTTGTGATTTGTAATCAAAACCAGAGGTCACCCATGGATGATCCTTGGGGCTCGGTCATTACCATCTACCATTTTTTTGTTTAAAAAGATCTTTTCATTTTAAAAGATAATTACTTTGCACCTATTTCTGATATACCGATAGTTCCAATATAGTTCCTATTTAAATTGTTTTAAAAACAGAATTAACTGTCATTCTTCTATAAAACATTGGTCAACGAAGTTTTTTTTTTTTATTATTATTTTATAATACTATTCTTTTCACTGTGATAAAGTAATTCCCAATGTGAATGATTTTCTAAATTAGTATATGTCCACAAGATTTCTTTTTAGACTTGTTGAAATTAGATCAATATTGTGATAGTTATTGCTTTGTGAACATCTAAGAAGTAGCCGATAGAAACTACAGTTATCAGAAAAATTTTATTAAAATATATTTTGCATTATCATTTCTATGAATAAAAAAAAAAAAAACGGTCTTGGGTTCAGTACTTTTTAAGGAAATGCCATCTGTGAATATTTAATAACTTCTACTTTTTCTATTCATAAGATTGTATTTCTTCGAAATGTATTTTATTTTTTACTTCTACACATTCCTCTCTATTTGTGTGTATATATATATTTTTATTTCTCCTCCTAATCTATCGCTTCATAGGTAGATAACAATACTTGTCTAGTTTTTTACAATATCTTTATGTCTATTCACTTAAACTTTTTAAACAACAGAGTAAATAAGTCATATATTTATTTTAGTCATTTTTTAAAATTTTAATATTTTATCACTACAATGGTTTGCCTATAAAATTTATTTAGTATTCCTTTCTAATTTCATTTAGTTATTTTTATATTATTGCTTTAGTGCCAATATTGTAGTATTGTAACCCTAGTTATAATATTATTACATACCCCAGTTACAATATTATTACATCTGCTTTTGTTAATATATCCTCAGAGCTATGTATATACTTATTTTATTACTCATATTTTAGTTATTCTTTATTGTAATAGGTCTTTTGGCCAGATTTATTGTTAATTTGTATGAACAATATTGTTATTCTTAAGGGACCTAGTTCCAGAATAAAGATGATTTTCTATTCTATTCTAATATTATTATTAAAAGTTAATTTGGAAGGCAGTGGATCAGCTGATGAGAAGGTTGTCTCCTCAACTCCTCTCTCAGTTTTTACCAATTTTATAGCGGAATCTCTCTGATTATTCACGTGATACAGTTAAAGTGTATATCAGAGCAGTTGATATTTACTGTTGGCATCTTTTTTTTTTGTTATTTTAAGGAAAAAAAAAAAAAAAAAAAAATTTTTTTTTTTCTTTTTTTTTATTTATTTATTTATTTTTCTCTTATGATATGCGGTATGATCAGCAAGTGATGGCCAGTAAGGTGCCCAAGAGGTCTCGGTCAGACGGAGTTAGCTCACCAGCCAAACAAAGGACTCGTCGCTGCCTACGAGAAATACCTCCAGTGACCAAAATGAACACTTCAGAACCAGAACCTCAGCCCCAACCAGGTACGTCTGCACAAGAAACGATTGAAGAATCACCTTTCTTTACTCCAAACCCCTACCAAGTGCTTCAAAATGACAAAGAAGTAATGGAGTCTGCAGCAATACCCAGAGAACCAAAGCCTCCTCCGATATTTGTGAAAAATATAAAAAATTTCCAGATGTTCTGCACCCAACTAAATAAAATCTGCTCTGGCAGTTATTCATGCCTTAACAGGACCAATGACACCAAGATAACACCTGATTCTGCAGAAGCCTACCGAAAAATAGTGAAGTACTTATCAGAAACAAATGCGAATTTTCACACTTACCAGCTGAGGCAGGAAAGAGCTTTACGAGTGGTGATAAGAAATTTACATTCCTCAACCCCCACTGAAGTTATTAAAGAAGAACTAACGACGCTTGGTTTCAATGTACGCCAGGTAACAAACGTTTTGAAGGAGGACAGGGAACAGCCAGGATTACGAAATAGGATCCCACTACCATTGTTTTTCGTGGACTTGGAGCCATCACCAGGTATCGAAAAAATATATGATATCACAAGAATATACTATACAATGGTGAAAGTTGAGAAGCCATATCCCAAGAGAGACATCGTGCAGTGCCATAATTGTCAGACCTATGGCCACACGAAGACATATTGCCACCATCTGCCGCGTTGCGTGAAGTGCGGTGAACAGCACAAATCTGTAGAGTGCACCAAACCTATACAAGATCCAGCAGTATGTGCCCTATGCTTGGAGGGACACCCGGCCAACTACAAAGGCTGCCAAATTTACAAGAATCTCAAAACCAGACACCAGAAAAACCGGATTCAAGATGAAGCACTAAGAACAAGAAGAGAGAGAGAGCCTTCCAGAATTGTAAACAATGATGTATCATTCTCCCAACTACTTAGAGGTAAGACTTTAACCGATAAATGTCAAGCCCTGCCACAACAACAACCTCAAACCCAACCTCAAAATCCTCTTCATCCTAATATACCTAACCACCAACAACAAATTCCTCATATTCCTCCTCCTTCAAATGCAACAGATCTCACAAGTTTGTTAGCATCTTTCCTCACCGATTTCAAATCCCTTGTTACTCCACTCATATCACTCCTCACGAATCTCGTATCTCACCTCATCCCTCCTTTGAAAAATCCTTAAATGACTCACATCCCTAAACCCATATCCATTCTCCTTTGGAATGCGAATGGTGTTAGAAATCATACAGACGAACTATCTACTTTACTACTTGACAAGAACATTGATGTGGCACTAATTACTGAAACTCGACTAACCACTAAACAGCACTTCAATATACCACAATACCTGACATATCGTACTGACCACCCTGACGGAAAAGCACATGCCGGTACTGCTGTAATTGTACACCAATCCCTCTCCCATCACCTACTCCCATTACCAATACATGATTTCCTACAGTCCACCGCTATCGTGATAAAAACCTTCTCCTTTCCGGTCACTCTTGCATCAGCGTATTGCCCTCCTAACCGATCCATATCCAATGCCCAATTCAGTTCTCTCCTCGACTCCTTAGGACATCACTTCATCTTGGGTGCAGACCTAAATGCCAAGCACCAACAATGGGGTTCCAGAACCACGAATTCTCGTGGCCGAACCCTGCTGTCTGCACTCAATTCCCAACGTTTTCACCTCCTTTCCCCCAACTCTCCTACCTACTGGCCCACAGATCCCAACCGTAATCCTGATCTTCTAGATTTCTTTATCCACAGCGGCTTAAGTCCCCTCAATTGTTCCATTACACGTCTAAATGAACTTTCCTCTGACCATAGTCCTCTAATCCTTAATGTTTCACTTGAACCTGTTCCCAAACCTTCTCCACCGTCATTCATTAGGGGCCCAGTAAACTGGGACCTTTTCCGCCAAATAATCTCCGATAATATTGATCTCAACATATCCCTCAAAACTCCCGATGACCTTGATAGTGCCGTAAATTCCTTTACTACCACAATCCAACAAGCCGCCTGGACTGCCTCCTTTCCAAAAGACTCCTCCAGAATTCCTATAAAGACCATTCTACCCCAACACCTCCTTAACCTAATCCGCACCAAACGCCGTGCCAGATTATTATGGCAACGATCCCGACATCCTACCGACCGCTGCTCCTATAATTACTACTGCAAACAATTAAAACTGGAATTAGCCACCTTCAGATCACAATCCTTCAACTCCTACCTATCCTCCCTCTCTTCTCGCGACAATTCCCTTTGGAAAACCACAACAAAAATCCTAAATCCTCACCGCATTTCCCATCCTCTCCGACGAGGTGATGGCTCCTGGGCAGCATCTGACGAAGATAAAGCTGAGGAGTTCGCCATTCACCTATCCAATACATTTATTTCACATCCGGAATCCCATCCTGCCCACACCGTAACAGTAGAAGAACTCCTTACATCACCAATCCCACTTTCCTTGCCCCCAAAAGCTATTCATCCTTCCGAAGTAAAATTTCAATTAAAAAAACTAATCCTCCGTAAAGCTCCTGGACATGATCTCCTTACACCTCAAATCCTTCGACAACTTCCATCCAAAGCAGTCATATTCCTTACATATATCTACAATTGTATCCTACGCACCACCCACTTCCCTCTGTTATGGAAACACTCCACTATTATCCTTTTCCCAAAACCAGGAAAACCTCTCAATAGCTCAACATCCTATAGACCAATCAGCCTACTCCCAATCCTTTCAAAAATTTTTGAAAAGATCCTTTTGAAACGAATCCTACCCATTATAGAATCCCAAAATATCCCTTCCCATCAGTTTGGTTTTCGCTCTCAACATTCTACTGTTCAACAAGGACTCCGAGTCGTTGATCATATTTCCTCAGCCCTAGAAAACAAGGAATACTGTTCGGGTGCCTTTCTGGACATTGCACAGGCATTTGACCGGGTATGGCACTCCGGACTGCTCTCCAAGCTTAAAATCCATTTACCTCAGTCCTTGTACCTAGTCCTCCGATCCTACCTCTCTGACCGCTCCTTTCGAGTTCGCTGTGGAACAGAATTTTCCAATATCTACTCCGTTAAAGCCGGTGTTCCCCAAGGCAGCGTCTTGGGTCCCGTGCTTTACATCCTCTTTACTGCTGACATCCCTGTTCATCCCGATACTTTTCTTGCAACATTCGCTGACGACACCGCAATCTTATCATCCAACTCTGATCCCGAAATAGCATCCTTAAATCTCCAAAGTCATCTCACCTTGATTGAGCACTGGTGTAATAACTGGCGCATTAAAGTTAATGAATCTAAATGCCAACACATTACTTTTACACTCCGACGCAATTCCTGTCCACCAGTACTCTTTAATTCCATCCAGCTTCCTTATTCAGACACAGTCCGGTATCTTGGCTTTCATTTAGACCGAAGACTAACTTGGAACCCGCATACTAGACTCAAAAGACAAGAACTCAACCGACGATACGGCCAACTATACCGACTACTAAGCAGAAAATCTAAACTTTCCATTGAAAACAAGCTACTGATCTACAAGACAATACTGAAACCTATTTGGACTTACGGACTAGAACTGTGGGGATCAGCAAAATTTTCTAACATCAAGCGCATCCAATCCTTCCAGTCTAAAGTCCTTCGAACAATAGTCGATGCTCCTTTCTATGTATCCAACAAAACCCTACATCATGACCTTAACATCCCATTTGTCCTAGACCTTATCCCAGAAAAGTTCTCCAAATTTCACCAGAACCTTACTTACCACCCAAATCCTCTTGCACAATCCCTATCAAGCACTTCCCATCCCTATGATCCTCCAAGAAGGTTGAAACGGCAGTGGCCTCGCGACCTTTTGTAGATTTTATAAATTGGAGTTCTGGCAATGGCCAGATTCATCACTCAAGACATGAGTGTATGTGGCTAAAGTGCTCTCGACCAATCTCCGCTGGCTTTAGTACCAGTGACGCGGTTGGGAGAGTAGCACAGGGTTCTCCTGGAGTTCCCTCGCCTGATTGTATATAGGTATGCATGTGTTTTTTTTCTTCTTAGTTTTAATTTTCTTATTTTTTAGGTTATTTTATTTTATTGTCTATTGTATATACTTTTGATTATTATTTTGTTCTATTTATTTTATTTTTTTGTACATATGGTGTGAATGTCATCCTACCTCACTATAACCAATGTCGAACAGACAGATTGTTATAATACTCAATAAAGAAATTAAAAAAAAAAAAAAAAAAAAAAAAAGTTAATTTATAACTGTTTTTAAAGAAGTATTTTATTTTTTAAAACCTTCATTAAACATTTTTTAAAAATAAGAAGTGTATTTAATCAGCGGTAGGGAAGACTGGCCCAATGTGTAATTGTTTTATAAAATGGAGGTGAATGCTAGCTTATTCTTGAATACATTTCAGCTTAATTAACATGAGTTTAATGCTTATTAAACAAGGAAGTTTTTCAAAAAGTAGATAATCTGTAGTCCAGTTAGAGGCTGATAAATACAAACTAGGACTATTCATTGATTTTACTTAAAACAGAACTTCGCATTGTTAGCCATTTGAAAGTCCCTTTTCAATAATTTTAACAAAAACCAATTCTGCTTGTTTTTTTAAATAAAAGTTTGTCTAGTTAGTGGTGCTGTAATCGGGAATAGTTTTACTTTAAAAGATTTAGTAATTTCTTTCTATTCAAATAGAAAATTCTCAGTTTAAAAAAAACAAAAATATAAATTTGGACCATAGTATAAATAAACAAACGTTTCTGTTACATAACTATAACTTCCTATAAGTATCGGACATTGTTTATATTATCCCCAGTATATTATTACTTATATTTCTCCTAACCTTAACGTTGTTGTTATTAGAATTTAAGCTTGTTTTCTAAATAATGTTTAAATAATCTTAAAATTTTTCTTTTGTTTCAGTGACATTGAAATTGCTCATTCTCAGACACCTAAAGATATTAATGATTTGGCCTCTGAAATAGGTTTACTTCCGGGAGAAGTTATTCCTTATGGCAATACAAAAGCAAAAATTTCATTATCAGTTATGGGACGCCTTAGTAGTCATCAAAATGGCAATTATGTTGTCGTCGCTGGGTAATCATGTTTCATATATTTAAGAAATTATTATGTAATGATAAGATACAATGCTCTTTAAATTCCTCACCCATATAGAATGTTTTTTTTAGTTTTATCTATTCCTAGAAGAACTAAATAAGGTACTATATCAGATAAGAAATTCATTTCTTTTTTATTTCAAAAATCCAATAGCTTGTCGACAAGATCACTATGCTTTGAGTGGAATTAAGTGGTATAAGTTTAGATGATTTCATAACATCATTTGATGATATGAATTGCATAGATGTAAGAAGGGCATTGAAGTAAAAATACTTTTAGTTACAATAAATCTGAAAATTTTAGCCTATTGCAATTTTTAGGTTTGAAGGTATGTATCAAAGTCTTATCCAATCTTTGATGTCAAAACTTATAAATGTCAAAACCTATAAGCCTAAAAATTAAATAAAATTCAAATCTCATGTACGAAAGGTTGTTTAAGATGCTGCATTTTAAAATTTGTCCAAGAACTTAGCTCGTTAAGGGGATTGGAGGGGTTGGCATAGACATATCTCACTCTTCTGTAGCTGTCATAGAAATATTTTTGCGGGATCTTCTGAACCAGTATCTCTTCTAACTGGTTCTTCTTACACATGAGAGGATGCTGAGTGCGAGGAATATTTTCAGCTCAACACAATCAGGGCCAGTGATGGAAAATATGCAGTTGCCATGCCAATTAAAACAGGTTCTTCCATACTAAAAAACACATAGAAGATGGCTCTTATAAGATTTAAATTTTTAGAGCAATGATGCATAGAATGAAAACTTAACTCTTTATAAGTGACCTAATATAAGTGTTTGTTGCAAAATTTGTTCTCCTTAAATTTGTTTAAAATACTATTTTGCCTCACCCTGCCAGATTTTAGCTTTCAAAAATGCATTTTAGCTTTTTTATTTAACTTTCAATAACATATGCCTTTCTGTCTGCACCTGGGAATGAACAATATGAGCGGCAATCCCTTAATACTTTGTTGTCTTCAGTATTTGCAAATTTAAAATTCCCTGATGCAGAGAGTTTGGCAAAGTCCAAGTTCTTGTGGGCAGTCAGGGCAAAATGTGGCTGTCCTTTTCACCAAGCTACGGATTGATTTGCATTGGTGACATATCTTTTTACGAGGTGGAAGTGTCGCTGGCAGATGGATGCTAGTGACAGGGGCGGGGATAAGAGAGACTGCACTATCACCTATGAGGCTTTCTATTAAGGAATCCTTGTACTCAAGCAACTTCATATTGCTCCCTGTTTGTTTTTTGTAAAACAAATAACTATTATTCATCATATGAATAATGTGGATTTGTTAAATATATATATATTCATACACATAAATAATGTGAGGTATTATATGTTTAGTATATTCACTCCACCTACTATATTGAAAAAAAGATCTAATGCTAAAAAATGTAGGAAACTTACATTTATTTGTTTAGTATACAGATTCATGTGTACCAAAATCAGCAATCAGTCAAAACCTAAATAAAAAGATTATAAAATTAACTTATTAACATTTATTTGATGTATAAAACATTTAAATAGAATATAATTGTGGGTTGATGGCTGACTGTAGTGAATAATGAAGAGAAGGATAGTTGGGGTGATCAGTCAAAGTAAAAATAAATATTATTATTTATTTTTACCATTTTTACTTTCACTGATCACCCCAACTACCCTTCTCTTCATTAAATAGAATATAAATAAGATCCTGCATGTCGTAAGAGGCGACTAAAAGAGAACCCTTCCTCTTCTTTCCTCTGGGAAGAGGGACCCTCCTGTAGCCTGAATGGGGTGACAAGAAAGCTCATCTCAGGTCAATAGGGGCTGCAATACCATCTCAGGCCGTGAAGCAAAAGGGGAGCCTTACTTGCAGCTCAAAGAAGGATCAACTTTAGCAAGACTGGTCCTCCAGGTTGAGGGTTATGCATTGGGCTGGTAACCCATCCACAGAAAGCAATCAACACTACGAATCCTGAAAAAGAAAAAAGCCGGACTGATCTCACAGAAACGACTTAACGCCTGTATAACTGATTTTCGACTCAGAACTTGGAACCTTTGTCATTATATCGTCCTGGAGCACTTCACCTGCTCTTAACCCAACTTAACAACTTCGGGGTAGACATTGCTGCAATCCAGGAGGTAAGGTGGACGGGGACTGGAATTCTAAATAAGAGTGGCCCCACCATGTACTACAGCTGCCATGAAAGGTTGCAGCACTTTGGCACTGGCTTCATGGTTGGCAGAATAGCTTCCCAGTTAATAATTGGTTTTGAGCCAATTGACCCCAGAATCTGCTACGTGCGCATGAAAGGCAAATTCTACAATTACAGCCTATGGAGCATCCATGCACTGACAGAACCTTCAGAAGATGAGGACAAGGATGCCTTTTACTCCGTGTTGGAGCGGAGCATTGACCCAAGCCCACAATCAAACATAAAAATTATGATCGGTGACTTAAATGCCCATGTCGAAAGGGGAAATGGCCTACAAATCAACAAACAATTGGAATGAACAGTCTGCATGATCTATTGAATGGCTTGTCTGCTTCAAGGGGACTAATGGTTGGTAGCACCTGTTCCCTCATAAAAGGATACATGAAGCAACATTGAGGTCCAATGACGGGACTACATTGAATCAGATAGATCATATCCTGTTGAGCGCTAGACACATATCAAGCCTATATGAGGTGTGAGGACTAACCATGGAGTGAGCGAACATCGACTCAGACCACTATCTGGCCATATCTCGAATCAGGGCTAGAGTCTCTTCCGTCCGGAACCAAAGAATAGTACCTCAGCCCAAGTGGAATATTGAAAAGCTCAAAGACCCAGGAATAGGAACTATGGTTTGATGAGGAATGTGGAGCTATAATTGCCCTCAAGAATGAAGCTCGCAAGCTGACCATACAGGGAAACACTAGGGGCTCTTAAGAGACATATAAGGCCTTGAGAAAACAATGAAAACGCTTACACCAGAGGAAAAAAAGGATACAGAAGTCTCAAAAGCTCCAGATAATCGAGGATTTCGAAGCCAAAATGAAGTATGAAAATTCTATAACCGAAAGTGAATAGACAACCCTGTGGTATCCCAACCACACCAGCTACCCAACCGCCGGCCAGAAGACAGGTATTCCGTCCGCACGGGGGACCCCCCTGGTCAAAGTGTTAAAGATTTAATACAATAAATTCATCAATGAATACATTGATCTTGGACACATGCTAGAAGTAATTGCTCATGAGTAAAGAAGTATTAAACTCATTTTCCTTCCTCGTCACGTTCATTGAGTTCTCGTCCTTATCAATTAAGGTCCAATTAGTTTGATGAATCTGCCAAGTCAACCACTGGAATTTCACTCCATGATATCATTAATCATGAGGGGATATTGACAAAATTATATGAAACATGAACTCATTAAAACTCAAACCAACGAGTGTAAGATTAATTCACAATCATCTCTTCTAAAGGTTTACACGTTTCTCACTGTCAGATGTCATAAGAACATTCTTACTATAAAATATTCTTAAAATTTTTAAAACAATTGGATACTTACATGATTTTTTAATTGGTATTTGTCAGTGAGGAAGAAGTCCTAAATTTTTCTGATGCATATTTGTAAAAATAATTAACGTTAAAGAAAGTGGTGGAGACAGAGTTATGTCATGAGAGTGTAGTATGTCTACGCTATGTCATGGGCTGCCAGCACTAGATCATACCATTGAGTATGTTATAATTTTTAGCATAGTGCTAAAATAGTGTTTTCAACTTCAAAACTTCCTTTCAATAAATATCTTTGTTTTTTCTCTCATCCTATCTTTTCTGAATAAAAATATTTATTTTAAAATGTATTTTAATTATTAAATGCATGTTTAGGAAGTAGGGTTGAGATATGTTTGTCGGCATTGTATTTGGTAGCCATACACGTCATGTTATGGTCGACTCCGTCATCGCCCCCAGTCTCTATTATAACTTCCATTGGCAGTCATTCCAATTTTTTTTGCTAATATACACCTTTTTTTTCTTATTTGAAAAATGCAATTTCATTCTCAAATACATTTTTTATCACTTTATTTTTATTGTAACTCAAATTTATGCAGTTTTTTTTCTTCTATACAAGTACCCTATTTATAAATTAGGTTTATCAGATAATTGTATTAAATTTTGTAAAATAGCTCCATTAATAATATAACCTATCGATCCTTATTTAAAATCTCCTTAGTTTATACAATGAAAATAATATAAAATAGTACACTTCAAGATTTCTTGATATGAAATATCAAAATGTAAATGAATTAATAGGGAAGTAGTGTCGGAAGCACTAATTATAACATTTATTCAATAAAAATCCAGCTAAATATCTTTATATTATGTAACTAATCAAAAATTCATTATATTTATTTTGAAGTTGGAAATGTCTATATATTCATATTTATGAATGAGGTTCATGAATAAATAAATTGCCGCTTAGTTATTACTTTAATAGTAAATTCTTTTCTTAACTAAACTAGATCTTCTTTGTTCTTTAAGAATTACCCCGACACCGTTAGGAGAAGGTAAAAGCACTACAACATTAGGATTAGTTCAAGCCCTTGTCAGCCAAAAGGAAAGGAATGCTATTGCTTGTGTGAGGCAGCCTTCACAGGGTCCTACATTTGGAATAAAAGGTAAACATTTTTACCTGTAACTCTTCCTTTTTAAGTCCTTACTAAATTTTTAAGTTTGTGACTGGGAATGTGTATTTATATTCAAAAGATATCTATAAACTATAATTTATATTGGGGCTAAAAAAGGAGTTTTTAATATTTTAAAGTTATTTTAATATTGTTTATGAATTATTATATATATATTGTTTGCTGAGGGGAGCTGGAGAGCTGAGTGAATAAGGAACAATGCTCCTGTGCTCTGGTTCCTGGGTTTGAGTCTGGCTGTGGTCACTAGCGGATCGAGGAATTGATTTTGGGGGGCTTCAGCCCGAAAGGTTTTTTTTAAAGAAAATATATAAGGATTATTACTTTAGAAGAAGAAGAAGAAAGAAACTAACCACCTATATAAAATGGTGTTTAAGTTATTTTTTAAGTCCTACTATATCGCTCCTACCAACACCATATAATAATAACACCATATAGAATTCTTTCCAGAATTCTCTTCAATCGATTGTGTCCCTATGCCGAACAAATAGTAGAAAAGTAGCAGACTGGCTTTAGAAGTGGGAAATCCACAGTAGACTAAATCTTTTCCCTGAGGACTATCATGGAGAAAGGGATTGAATATAACTTTACATCCTATCATCTTTTTGTAGATTCCAAGAATGCGTACGATAGCATTAATTGCTCCAAAATTTACAAGGCACTGGAAGAATTTGACATTCCCAGAAAGATTATCTGTCTTGTTAAGATGACCATGCATGATGTGAGGCACTAGCGGATCCAGGATTTAATTTTTGGGGGCTTCAGCCCGAGAGCTTTTTTTTCATATGTGTAACAATAATTAATTTGAAAAAAAAGAAAGAAATTAACTAACTATATGAAATGTTGTTTAAGCGATTCTTGAAATCCTATTAAATGTAATTAAATGAACAATAATACTTAAAGGGGTAGTTTTTAATATTTTTTTTCTATAAAACATGGTTATATTTTACCATTTTGGGGGGGATTCAGCATGAAAGCCAGTCTCGTAGATCCCCTGCGATGTGAGGAATGTCATTAGAATACAAGGAAAGTGCTTGAGTGAGTTTCAGACCAATAAGGGTCTGTGACAGAGGGATGGGTTGACATGTCTGCTATTTATTTTAGGGCTTAAAGTAAGAGATTCGGGAGTACAAATAAGGGGAACTATTGTCAACAGAAGTGTCCAGATCTTGGGCTTTGCTGACAATATTGAAATAGTTTCGAGATCAAAATCTGAGCTGATTAACACTTTTCTGGCAATCCAACAGGCAGCTGTGCTATTGCAACTTGAGATAAATTAGGCCAAAACTAAATATATGGTGGTAAAGGCCGATGGATTTCAGCAAGGTGATAGTTTTATAAAAATAGACCCATATAAATTTCAAAGAGTACAGGAGTTTACCTACTTCGTATCTCTGATGACATCAATAAATGAAATGATGAAGGAAATAGGGAAGAGGATAGTGGCAGCCAACCGTTTCTATTTTGGTTTAAGGAGGCAGATCAGGAGCCAACTACTTACAAGATAAACAAAGGCAAGATTATATAAAACTTTGATTAGGCCGGTGTTTACCTATGCCTCACAAACATGGACGATGACAAAGGCTGATGAAAATAGCCTCCTTATATTCAAACAGAAAATTTTTCTAAGAATATATGGCCCTGTGAAAAAAGGAGAAGTTTGGAGGAGACAAAGTAACCAGGAGTTATACACTCTGTATAATGACTTAAATATTCTTGTCTTCATAAAATTTGGATGGTTAAGTTGGCTCACAGGAGAGTCAAGATAAGGGGTACCTTTTATGAGATCGAGTAAGAGATTGAAAGAGGATGCCCACAGGGTTCAGTTCTGCGACCGGCCCTGTGGAAGTTAGTGTTCGACCAATTGCTGAGGGAACTGGAGGTGGAGGGGCTTTGGTGCCATAGCATATGTGGATGACCTGGTCGTAGTAGTGGCAGCGAACAGCAGGGCGAGATTGGTGGCAGAAGGAGAGAGGTGCCACCATAGTCGAAGGATGGTGTGGAAAGAAGAGGATGAAGATGGTGGCAGCAAAAACTCAGGCCATGCTGCTGAAAGGCTCCACAGATACGGCTCACCCTATCAGCCTTAGAGTCGGAGGGGAGAGAGTCCCCCTGGGTGAGGAAGTTACTTACCTAGGCGTGAGATTCAAGACGAAGTTTAATGTCTCTCCCCAAATTGAACATCTGCAGAAATAGGGTGACCCTGTCACTAAATGGCCTGACAAGGATAGGGGATGCTTTTTGGGGCCTCAGGTACCTGGCCACCAGTGTCATCTACAAGGGGGTCGTGCTGGGTATACTGAGGTACGCATCCCTAGCCTGGAGCTGCTGCCTGGATAAGCTCCAGAAGAGGAAGATGGCCACCATCTAGAGACTCACCCTGCTGAGGATAACAAAGGCATACAGGACGGTGTCCCACGAAGCGGTGCAGGTGTTGGCCGGAGCGATGCCCCTGGAACTAATCCTCTAGGAAGATACCACCAAATTCCACTTCAAGAGGCAGGGGCTGGACACACTATCTGAGGAACTCCATGAGAAAATAGTTGAGAACCCGAAACAATGGAAAAGGATTATCAGGGAGGACTCCATTGAAGAGTAGAACAGTCAGTGGGTAAAAGCCCAAAAGGATCTACTCTCAGGAAGTTCTTCCTCACCGTCCAGGCAAGATTAGATGCGGTATGGGTCCTCCCTGATTACTGGGTCTCGCAGGTGCTCACAGGACATGGAGGGTTCCGGGGAAAACTTGCTGCCCATGGAAAGAATATCGACCCCCAGTGCCCTCCCTGCGGGGTCCCTGAGACGGCTGAATACATCCTAATATCCTGCACTGAGATGGAGGGATGCCGTGCGACATTGCTAAGAGGGATGGGAATGTATAGCCTGACAGAAGAAGATTTTCTCTGTTTGGTGGAGAAGGAAAATTACCCACTCTTTCGGGAGTTTGTGTATGGATGGAGAGATATGATCAGCCCTGCACATTTCTCCCTGGGAGCGGTAAGGAGACCTACTGAGGAGGCCGAAGAACACTGAGGAAGGACCGGACGAATGCGGTGCAGACAAGTTGCGGCCACATCATAAAGTGCACCACAGTTAACCCAGTTTTATGTTCCAAAAATTAAAACTTTTTCCTAAAATCATGTAAACAAAGAATAAAACATTATTAATAAAGTGTTGCTTATTGGTAGCAGTGGGCATACGAGAACCCAAACGTATTAACTCACTGCCAGGTTGAGTGAGAAAAAAAGGTTAGGTTCCATGTGATTTGGATAGAGGAGGGTGATATTTCCATTGAGTCTTTGAGGATATGATTGACCGCATTAGGAGGAGAGAGAGGCAGACCCAGGCTGAGATGGTTAGATAGCATGGTGGCTACTAGGAATACCGAACTGGAAAGCTGCGGCAATAAATCGAGATGGATGGCGTAAGCTCCTTGAGGAGGCCAAGACCCACCCTCAGGTTGTAGCGCCAACGAGATAGATAGTTGTTGGTGGTGATTAGGAGCCTAGATATAATCTAGGTACTATAAATTTCCAGTATAGTTTATTAAAATTAATTGTTTTATTTTTCAAAATTTATCAATCAAGAAGTGAATGTGGTTAGAACTAAAGCTGAAAAATATTAATTCATTTTTTAAAAATGGTAGAATTATAGTTCTTCTTATAATGACAATCTTTTAGGTTAAAAAATCTTAATTATTATTTAATGAAAATATAGTTATAGTTTATTAGTAGGTTATTAAGTGTACACTTATTTTCATTATTATATTGTTATTTATATGCACACACACATTGTTATATAAACACGTCCTGATGATGACACACGTGTTTGGGTTGAAATGTCGGCACCAATAAAAACTTTATAATGACTGCGTCCTGAATATTTATCACCCATAATATATTGTTATATGTTTATTTTTTAGGAGGTGCAGCTGGTGGTGGTTATTCTCAAGTAATTCCAATGGAAGAGTTTAATTTGCACCTAACTGGAGATATTCATGCTGTAACAGCAGCAAACAATTTGTTGGCAGCTCAAATAGAAGCTAGAATATTTCATGAAGCTACACAGAAAGATAAAAGTTTATTCAATCATTTGGTACCATTGGTTAAAAATAAAAGAGCCTTTTCCAAATGTCAAGTTAGGCGATTACAAAAGCTTGGCATTGAAAACAGAGATCCTGATTCTTTTACTGATGAGGAAATTAAGCAATTCGTTAGGCTTGATATTGATCCTTCCACTATATCTTGGAATAGAGGTTAATTCTTAATCAGATTCAATAATTCTATTTTATTTTAATGCATGGTAATTTACATTCTTGGTTCCTTTTCAATATTTAAATATAGTGTTCTATTTATTTATTATGTTTTACTTTATTTTAATTTTTTTTTTTTACTTTTAGTATAATAAAATATTATTATTACTTTTTCTTTTATAGTGATTGATACAAATGATAGATTTTTAAGGAAAATAACCATTGGTCAATCTCCTACTGAAAAAGGTTTTACTCGTGAAACTTCATTCAGCATATCTGTGGCTAGTGAAATTATGGCGATTCTTGCTATCGCAAGTGACCTCAAAGACTTGAAAGATAGGCTGGCACGTATAGTTGTAGGATTGAATAAAAATGGTGAACCTGTAACTGCTGATGATTTGGTATGTAATTTAATCAATCATTAGATATAATTTTTAATAATGATTAGTTAAATAATTTTATTAGCTTATTATACAAATTAAAAAACAAAAAACTGTTTTAGGGTGCTACTGGGGCAATGGCTGTGTTACTTAAAGATGCAATTCAACCAACATTGATGCAAAGCCTTGAAGGTACTCCTGTTTTAGTACATGCTGGTCCTTTTGCAAATATAGCTCATGGATGTTCATCTATCATTGCTGATAAAATAGCGATGAATCTTATTGGGCCAGAAGGATTCGTTATTACTGAAGCTGGTTTTGGTTCTGATATTGGTATGGAGTTGATTTCATTTTTTTCATCTTTAAAAAATATGTTAAACCTGTCAATTTTCCATTTACTAGTACTTATTTTTTTTTACGTATTTTTTAAATATTGATATATAACGATATGAGGTAGTCAAGCCATAATAATTGACAGTTTTTTTGTGGTTATTTCAACATTTTTTTTTAATAATAAATAGATTATTTTCAATAATGAATCTTTGTCTATCAAGAGCAAGAAAAAAAAAATTGAATCTTCGCATAAAATTTTACGTTTTACTTTTTAAGATTTGTAGAATCCAAAAGTCAAATAGTGAATGGGGTAGCTAACAGAATAAGCCACTGTGATCCTATTTTACCGGTCCTGGATTTTAGTCTAGTTTTGGCAATTATTTATTCCATTACATCCTGGGGTCAGAAGACGGTCTTGGGGAACACCTAGCTTCTGTAAAGTGGGTGCTCTTAATTAAGGGGAAATACTTGACAGTTGAACATGATCTCAATCAAATCACTTTACACAATCGTTGATCAAGAAACAGTACTTCCTTAAAAACTACATATCAGAAATGACATGTCCTCTTTTTATAGTTAACCGTGATAAGTTGGCAGCATGAGGCTTAACTTATGGGGTATAAAGTTATAACTTACATTTTTTTTTCTTAACTCTCTGTTATTACTCAAAAAATATTTACAAATATATACACCGAAAAATGATATTATAATCTTCTAATTTATGTACATATTTTGTAAATAGTATCAAAGAGTTAGGGAAAGTTTCAACTTTTTGCTGCACGAGTTCGCCATCTGGCTGTCAACTAATTATAGTTGAACTATAGTAATAGGAAAATGAATGGACAACACATAAGATTTTTCCTGCTCGCCAGGAATCTGACAACCCCTATTACAAAGTGGGCAAAGTTATAGGACTTCACAATTAGCCAAAAAAAAAAAAAAAAAAAAATTAGAGAACCTTAGCTAGCAATCTTGTGTGTTGCTTTGATTTTTTAACACAATTATGTTTATTTTTCATGATTTTAACCTATAAATTTCTTGTCTTAGGTATGGAAAAATTCTTTGATATAAAATGCCGTAGCTCACAGATGATACCAAATGCTGTAGTTCTTGTGACAACAATCAGAGCTTTAAAAATGCATGGAGGTGGTCCACCTGTAGTATCAGGCCTTCCTTTAAAAAAGGAATATGTTGAGGTAATGGATTTCAATTAGAGGGAGATAAAAAGTGAGAATGAGGAGGTGATAGTAAGAGTGAAAGTGGGAGTGGGAATTGGTGTTGGAAGGATATGAAGAGGGTAAAAATTTTCGAAGGGAGGAAGCAGAGGGTAAGTGGGCAGAAGTAGGATGATTAAATGGTGTATTGTGACTTTTAGTAATTGTGATCCTTTCTTACCGACAAAAAGAAAACATCATGGTCTCAAACAAAGTTAAAATAAATAAGTGTTAAAATTATAATACAACCATTAAAAGAAAAATAGATTAAATATAATAATGATAATAAAGTAATAATAGGTAAGTAAGAAGTAGCTTGGATGGTACAGTGACTGAAAAAAATAGTCAAATCTTAGGATTTTCTGAAAATAATGAATTTGATGAAGTTGCTCTTTTTATAGAATGCTGATGAGGATATATTACTCATCAGGGCACAGTGTAGGTTCAATAAGTTTTAGGAAATAACATTTGTTATTGACATCAAATTATTTTCTTTTTCCAAAGAAGTAAGAACATGCAATAATATGTGCTTTACTAATTTTTTGATTGTTGTGCATGCTAAGCATTACTCTGTAACAGTATTGATTAACTCTAAAACATCCTTGTCCAGTCAACAGTTAAGATAAGTAAGTCTATTTCGCTATGTCCTGGACCATACTATGACTGAGAACACTTAATATGAGGGAGGAAGAGAAAGTGTGGGGTAAGGAGAAGAGGGAGTGGGACAGGGAAAAAAAGAGAGAGGTCGATTAAGTGTAATATCTTGTAGTTAATCAAACTGAGAATATTATTTTTTGTTATTTAATTGATAATAATATCTCTTTATTTCAAAAAGTAACTAAGTACATTTTTGGTTAAATATAATATATTTATTTGTCAAATTGTCACTTCCTGGTGAAATGGTCCATATGATTTATCAACTATTTTATTTATTTTATTTTTATATTTATAATTTTTTTTTTCAAAGGAAAATTTGGATCTTGTGAAAAAAGGCATTCCTAATTTGCTCAAACATATCAGCAATGGTCTTAAGTTTGGTATTCCAGTTGTTGTGGCCATCAACTATTTTGCGTAAGAACCACTTTTTTCTCATTGATAAATTGTTTTTCCAGCATTTAATGAATTAATATATTTTATTTAATAAATTATATTTTGAAAGGTTAAAATTTATTATTTTTTTATTTTTATTAAACCACAGTTTATCTCCCAGAGTTTTTTTTCTGTAATCTATTTTATTTTTTTATATTGTAATATAGTTAATATCTTTTATGTGATAGATTAGAGTTAATTAATATGATAGAATCTCCCATATAAAAAGTTAATACGTGAACAACCAGCATCAAAGTTTCGTTCTTTCAGTGAGGAGTGATTTAAGTTTCCATTGTTCCACCATTGACATTATTGCATTGAAATACATATATTTTAAATGGATAAACAATCAATTTAATTTTGATCAAAATTTAACTTGTGCTGTTCACATTAATTAGATATTGTGATTAAAAAAATCAAGAATGGTTAAAAGAAGCTTGAGTGTGTCTTCAAATTATATTTTTATAATTTTTTTTATTTATAATTAGTTTGCTAGTCGTTTTTATAACAATGCATTATTGCTATTTTTTATATTTGTTAATTTAATAGTTGTAATTTTATTTTTATTTGGACAAGTAATCTACCTATCATTATATAATGTAATTGGTATAATTTTTAGCTCTGATACAGCTGCTGAATGTGAGCTTATTCGTAGTGCAAGTATTGAAGCTGGTGCGGTGGATGCAGTAATTTGTAAACATTGGGCCGAAGGTGGTAAAGGGGCATTAAATTTAGCTAATGCAGTTATTACTGCCTGTCAAAAATCATCATCATTCAGGTATGTTTTCATAATATTTTTTTCTACATTATAATTATTCTTTATATTTCTGCCATTAATGAAAGATTTTATTCTTTAATTTTGGTTTTTTCCTTCCTCCCTCTTGTTTTTTATATTATGTTTATATGTTATTTGTTAATGTTTAAATTAATCTATAAAATAATTGTAATTCCTATTTTTAATTTCAAAACCTTTGTTTCTATGTTGGATTTGACCTTGTTATATTTCCTGGCTAAAAATAATAATATAGCTAAATATAACATCTAGCCACCTTAAGTTTTTATTATGAGAAGGAGTTGATTGGGGGGGGGGGGGGTGCGGTCAATTAAATACTAAATTATACAGATAGTATTATTTAATTTTTTTGCCTACGTTTCGACCCACTTTACAGGTCTTCAGCAGGACTACAAAAGATACAAAACATGGAATATAGAATCTATATTCTCCTTTGTTTTCTATTTTTATTCATACTTATTTTTCATTTTTGTTTGTATCTTCTATATATATATAATACTTGATATTTTAACTACATTGTCACCCACTATATCTCTGATATTATCTTTTTATTTCTTTATCAGACAACTTCTTATTTTATATCTACTTGTATTCATTTATTTTATTTTCACCATGTTTTGTATCTTTTGTAGCCCTGATGAAGACCTGCTAAGTGGGTCGAAACATCGGCAAAAAAATTAAATAATACTATTTGTATAATTTAGTATTTATTTGACCGCACCCCCTGATCAACTCCTTCTCGTATTATATCATGATCAACCATGTCTACATAATTAAGTTTTTATTGATTTACTTTTTCTTTGGTTTATTAACAAACAGTGAGCTTTGTTCAAATAGTTCCTCAACTGAATAAAATAAAAAATTTCTTAAAAGAAACAAGGTCTATTTTACTAATAATTACTGCGCGTCATAAGCCAAGAAAGACAAAATTTTCCTTAGCTATGTCCATTACTGGTGTGCATATCCTACTATTTATTTTTCATTTAACTGAACTTTTTTCAAGAACGTTAAACAATCAAAAAATAAAAGTTAAATTGAAGTTACTTTGTACCTATTCTATTTTGTATCTTTTGTAGCCCTGATGAAGACCTAAAAAGTCGAATGAAACGCTGTTGCACAGTGGTATAAAACACGTTATTTTCAGAAAAAACTTCGTCCACCTTGGACATATGATTTTAAAACTCATATAGGGTTCATTTTATGATACAAAATGAAAAAATAATTTTATTCTGGGACTACTTTCCCCTAAGAATAATAACAGAGTTACAAATTTATGGGTCTTAGTCTGACTAAGAATAATAAAAAATACATATTAATTAACTGTTAATTGTTATTACAATTGTGCAGTAGATTGAAATTAAACAGTGTGCAGATCCAAGTAATTTTACATGTCTGCGGAAGTTTGAATGTGGAGTAGGTGGTGGAATACGAGTTGTTTGAAGGAATTTATGGACGAGGATTGACGTATGGAGGTAGGAAGAGAGTTACATAAGGTAGCAGCACTAATGACGAAGGATTTGCTGAAGGAAGAAGTTTTATGGGAGGGGAGATATAAGTCTATAGGTTGAAATCTGGTATTAAGAGAATGAATAGAGGAACGTAGAATAAGGAGTTCCAGGATGTAGGGAGGGTTTTTAGTTCTGAAGACTTGGTAAAGCTAATTCCCCTAATTCATCTTCAAAGTCAGCCAGATGAATTTTATCTTTATCTGTTTTGGGCCCCATTGTTTACCTTTGACCTAACCTGTATTAGAAAAAGATGTAAATATCACTCAATTATTAATATTTATTTAAATAAATAATAAATAAATAATAATAATAATAAGGCTTAGCGAACCCGAAGGTTCGATGCCGACACCACCAATCGCTTGTTACAAACCTCCCTCCACCGTTCGCCGTCCAAACCCAGTCCCTTCAGATCGGCTTTAATGCAATCTTCCCATCTTCGCTTCGGTCTACCCCTCGGACGCTTACCATTCGGCACAGCAAATATTAACCTTTTAGGAATTCTCTCGTTACTAAGCCCAACAACTTTACAAGCCCATTTGATTCGCCGCGATGAAATTACCTCAATTATATTACCCGGATACATCTCACGCAATTCGGCGTTGTGTAACCGTCTGAACTCTCCGGTTAACTCATCCTTTTTCGGTCCGAATATTCTACGCAATACTTTATTTTCAAAAACCTTAAGACGCTGCTCATCCCTTAATGTAAGCGGCCAAGTTTCGCATCCATAAAGAACTGTAGGTAAGATAATTGTTTTATAGATTCTAATTTTTAAGTTTCGGGACAAGAGGCGCGAACTAAGTAGTTTTGTCACAGAAAAATAACAAGCATTCCCCGCCTTCAGTCTAACCTTAATCTCTTCTTCAATTTCGTTTTTTCTAGTTATCGTAGAACCTAGATACCTAAATTTATCTACCTGTTCAAACATATTACCATCTATATCGATATCACCAGTAGTATCGCCATTTTTGCAGCTAACCATATATTTTGTTTTATCCACGTTTATTTCGAGTCCTAGTTCTTTCCCGGCTTTCATTAACGTTGTCGTATTTAGTTTTATAGTTTCAACGTCTTCGCTTAACAGTACCAGATCATCAGCATAGCCCAGCACGGATGTTGTCCCGCCCAGATCCAACCCTTTCTCGGTTCGCATTACCTCCCTAATGGCATGTTCTAATGCCAAATTGAACAGGACAGGCGAAAGAGAATCCCCCTGTTTTAAGCCCGAACGAACCTCAAATTTTTCGGACAAATTATTACCGATTCTAACTTTATTGAGTGTCTCCGTCAAGCACATCCTGACTAGATTTACTAGTTTTTTTGGAATCCCCTGCTCGATTAGAATATTATACAGTTTCTGGCGGTCAATAGAATCGTAAGCCTTTTTAAAATCTATATACAGCTGGTGAACAATACCGTTATACTCCAATTTTTTCTCTAATATTTGCCGTAAAGAAAATATTTGATCAATAGTCGAGCGATTCCGTCTAAATCCGCATTGGTAGTCTCCGATAATTTCCTCGGCGTATTCCGTGATTCGACTGGTTAAGATTAAAGTGAATATTTTATAACATACCGGAAGGAGTGAAATTCCTCGATAGTTATTACAATCCGTCCTCGGACCCTTTTTGTGAATCGGAATAAGAATAGATTCTTTCCATTCTTCAGGTAATTTCTCGTTCACCCAGATCTTTTTAACCAACCGATGTATTTTAGAAACTCCAGCTTCTCCGCATGCCTTAATTAGTTCAGTAGGAATATTATCGATTCCCGCTGCTTTATATGATTTTAATTTTCCGATAGCTACTTCAACTTCCTCTTTACTAGGTCCTTCTATTAATGGTTCAGCACTCTGGTACTCAGAAGGAGGACACAGATCATAATTTCCCGTATTTAAAATATTGTCAAAGTGGTCCTTAAACTTATTCAATATGTCAGCCGGATCGGTCAGAATATTGTTATTATCATCCCTAATTCCAGACGTTACGGGCCCTACATATTTACGTGATCTGTTTATACCTTTGTACATGTCTCTTACGTTATTTTCGATTCTATTAGTTTCTATTTCAATTATTTTATTTTTAAGATACTCCCTTTTTTTATTTTTGAGCAATTTTGTCGTTTCGTTCTTTGAGATTCGGAAGTATTCCAGATTGTCTTCGCTAGGATTATTTAGAGCTTTTAATTTAGCGGCTTTTCTTTTTTCACACATGTTTAAGCAATCTTCATCAAACCACGGTTTGTTATTCTTATTTTCCTTTTTTCCTAGACACGAGTTACCGACCGCTTTAATATTATCTCTGATCTCTATCCATAACTTGTCAATATCCTCGTGGTCCTCGTCAGGAAGCTCTAAAGCTTCAAACCTATTCTTAACATCTAGCTCGAATTGGTTTCTAATTGATGGATTTTTTAATTTTTCCAAATTAAAATTCTCAAAATCGAAACGGTTTTCTTTTCTCTTTTTTATATTAAGTTTTTGTCGAAGTTTCGCGATTACTAATTCATGATCCGACCCACATTCTGCTCCGCGATAAGACCGTACATTAATTATACTGCTTTGCCAGCTGTGTTGTATCAAGACATGATCGATTTGATTTCGTGTTTGCGAATCCGGTGATGTCCAAGTATATTTATGAATATCCTTATGTTTAAACGTCGTACTTTTAATTATCAGGTTTTTCGAGATGGCAAAGTTTATCAGACGGATCCCATTATCATTACTATATTCGTGCAAACTTTCTTTACCAATCGTCGGAATATAAACTTCTTCCCTTCCTACCTTTGCGTTCGCGTCACCTACAATTATTTTAATGTAGTTTCGTGGTAGTTTATCATAAACCCATTCGAGTTTATCGTAAAATTCACTTTTGACTTCATCGTCACTGTCTTCGGTCGGACAATGTATGTTTATTAATGCGATTTTAAACCAACGTCCCTGAAATGTAGCTACCGAAATTCTATCACTAAAGAATTGTACGTCCCTCAAAGCGGATAGTAACCTACTCCTAATTAGAAACCCGGTACCCAAACAATGATTCCCGCTTCCTCCGTACCAAATAGTGTACTTTCCTTCCCTCATCGAGCCCTCCCCTGGCCAGCGAACCTCTTGCAGAGCCACGACATCCAAATTGTACCCATTTACCTCATTCGCGACCGATTTTAGCCCCCCTGCTGTGTTTAAACTCCTTACGTTCCACGTACCAATATTCAAATCCCTATATTTCAACTTGCACCATGAATCCCCTAAAGCAGTCCCCACCCGGAGACCCGAACGGGGGACTAGTTTACCTCCGGATAATGAGCGTTTTACCTTAGGGAGATCCATGACTTTTTGTGGTGTTTGGTGAACTAAAGATATGTGAGTAGGGCGTTCAATCCTACGTCACACCCTCCAGCAAGTCTGGTGGGCCCCTACCTCCAGCAAGTCTGGAGGTCCCCTCCCTCCAGCAAGTCTGGAGGGCCCCTCTCATTGTTGGTCAGCGAGTCCATCGGACTTAGCCGGGAGGAACTTCCAAGAAATTTCCACCGACCATCCCCACATCCGCCACCCGTGGGACGCTCCCCATACGCGGTAATGAGCCCGCGCGAGGATTAATATTTATTTAAACAAAATAAATGTTTAAAGGACTGGACCAAATTATGTTAAATATATAAAATAAAATAACAACCGCTAGAACGAAAATAGACAAGCTGAGTAATGCTAATAAAACAATTGTGAAAGATTTAATAATATAAAGGAAGGAGATGGTCTGGGGTGGCACTCATAAATAGGCTAAATAGTGACAAAACTATTTTATTAAAAGCCAACGTTTTGATCCGACTTTGCATGTCTTCTTCAGGGAGGTGTGTTCAGCTAGGAGTTTCACCTAGAACTGGGACTCCGGACCATCTCCTTCCTTTATAATGCAACGGTCAAATATTCAATATTTAATGAAATATTTTTATGCTTGATCATGGAAATAAAAAAAATAAAGAAACTATTTATATGGTCCAAAATTACAATAAAAATAGAAACCAAAACAAACTTCTCCAGAGACCCAAAATAAAATTTATACATAACAATATAAATAAGTTGCATAACGTTATGTGGACGCAAAGCAAGCAGGATGTTCGTAACTCTCTATCTCTATGCAGCGAACAAGTGTAGATTTTCCATGAGCGTGCTCTAAACGAACTGCAAATGGGCAGCGGCGAGCGTGTCTCGAGAGAGAGAGAAATTCTTCTAAGGTGGACTGCAGTGGGCAGTGCAACAACTGGAAGGACTGAGCTCTGTGACGGACGGAGTCAGACTGTTGTATTGGCGAAGTCAACAGGCTTAGGACTTGGACCTAGGACCTGTTTATAGCTAGGGCTACAATCCATAACAAGTTGTTTAAGTATAAACCATTGGCCTATTTAATATAAACAATATAAGCTATGGCCTATAATACTTAATATTCACATATAATATACATGTATAATTATTAATTGATTTCATTTTGATGAAATAAACCAAATCAACAATTAATAAAACTATTGTTAAATGTAAAAATAAATAAATTAACGCTGTGGCGTTGTTAAATGTAAAAATAAAATAAATTAACGCTGTACCATTAACGCAGTTAATAATAAAAAATAAACATGAAGTAAAAATAATGAAGAATGATCTAATATTTTATATACATATTTACAGTAGTAACTATTTAAAATATTATGGGGACTGGATGGATAAGTAATGACTGAACAGGCGGTTAATGATTTTGTGTTTATACTTTATGCTTAGATTTTTACATAGTTATAGCAATGAAAACCAATAAACTGTAAGACTGTGCCAAATTTAATTTTTTAGATATTTATTTGCCCACAAGTGAGACATTTCAAAGACAAAACCAAAAACTTCTCTCTTATCATGACCTGAAAATATTTATTCATAATCTGTAAATATTGTTTAGGGAAAAAAAATCTATTTTAACCATTTCTGTGAAACATTTTAGGATAAAAAGATTTTAAAATAAAAGTTCTAAGGAACTTTTTGTAATAAAGTTTCAGGTTTATGGTAAAAGTTTAACGTCTATTAATGGTGTGGAGATGGTTGAATATAATTATAAAATGGGAAGGAGTTGGCCGGGGATACGGTCCAATTAAATACTATATACTACAATAGAATTTTATTGGTTATGCCGACTCACAGTGGCACAGCAGCAAAAGATTATAGTAAAACTGGTGAAATCGATGGACATGTCTAGTAATGGACACTGTGTGCCCAGTAATGGACATGGTCGGGCCCAGTGATGGACACCCTTGTCTAACACTGATAAGAGATGTTTTTAGAGAAAAACTAAAAATACCAAGTGGTTTCCCGTTGTTTCGGGACTCAGAAAATCCAAAAACATGATAAATTTTCGTAAAAGTGCAAAGCCCTGGGTGGACATGGGTGTCTTTAACTAGATTTGGGTCAATTTTTGATCCTGTGATGGACATGCCCTAAAAGTCGTTAAAAACGTTAACTTTAATTAAATCTAATACTAAAATCGATTAGCTGAGGTTCTAAAATGGTAAATTGAATTTTTTAATGGTGAAAACTAAAATTTAAACACCTTTGAACATAAATGTTCAACTTACTCTTAGCAAAACTGTTAGTAGGAAGGTATGAAACACACCGATCTCAAGAGCACTATAGAAACAACAATGATGGGCATTCTAAAATCTTCTTTTCAGAATTTTGTACATACTGTTGTCAATAGAGGCCATTGTTCTTCAATCTAGGAAAAAACTGGGACCTTTAAATCAACAAGCAAGCTTATTATTTACATTTGAAGTCCATCACTCGGCCCCCTGTCCATTATTGGTGCGTTCACCCTAATTGGGCTTAAATTATAATTACAATTTGTCTTAAATGAATTACACATGATTCTAATGTGTTGTTTGTTTTAAAAACTATCAATAAAAGTAATTTTTCAGATTGAATTTTCAGGGAAATCGAAAGAACTTTTAAATAGAAGTTTTTAAAAATAAAAGTTCTGTAAAACCTTTACTTTAAAAGTGGCTTAGGAAAAAGTTCTGGTTCCAAAAAACTGAAAAACTATCTACAATATATATTCCGGTGCTACTGAAACTTTTTGAAAACAAATGTTTTTTCTCCGTTTTTTTTTTTAGGCTCAATTGAAAATTCTATGAGGGGATCGTGATGTGAAATAAAACTATGAGTGCTCAGTAATACTTGAATAGGGTCTTTTTTGCTAACATCATATTGAACAAATAAAGTTAATAAGAATATGCCACTCTGTACCATAGATTGTCTAGAAAAGTATTTTTTTGTTAAAAGGAGTATTGAGGTATGCTATATAAGTGCCTCAATTTCATTTAATTATGTGACAGAAAAAGTGTAATCTTTTCATTACATATTTATCTTATTTCCAAGTTTTTTTTTCTTTTAAAATTACACTTAATTTAGTTTATGGTTATGATATAAAGCTAATTTTTATTACTTTTTTTCGTTAGGAAGCTGTTGAATTTAGTCAGAGGTTGGCATATAAAAACTTCCATGAAAGCAAACATATTTTGTATTTGTTGCATTTTGCTTATAGTATAAAGGCGTTTCGGGAACTTTTCCCCCATCATCACAACTATCTTTGCAAATCATTTATATAAATTTCTAAAATAAAAGAATTAATATAAAATAACTGTTGTTACAAGTTTCTTAATCTGAAAGTTGTTAATGAATTTATTAGCTGTAATATTTACCCATGTGTGCTCTTTCATCTTATTTTATACATTCCATCAAAGGTGTTATCCAGAGCCACCATATCACCTGATTAACAATTGGGTTTCTATATTAACCACTAAGGGTTTGTCTTTGTATTTTGTACTAGACTATTTATTTTCCTTTCAGTATGGGTATGTAAGTTTTTATTGGTAATTATTGGAATTGTTAATTTTATAGTGTTTTGATTTTGTTGAGAATATCAGAGTAATGTGTTCCCAGATGTTTTGTATTGGTTTTGTAGTTTACTGTTATACTGCTGTTTTTTGTAATATGGATGGCTTCAAGTACTTTTCCGTTATTATTTTTTTGTTCTATGCCTATAATTTGTGGTTTGTTGAAGTTAAATTTGTGTTGCATTTTTATACTGCAGTGTACTAAAGCTGTTGTATTAATGTTTTTTTATGTTTTTGTAGTTAGAGATATTTCGGTTTATTCTGGTTTTAAGTTATTTTGATGTTTCACCTTCGTAAATTTGTTGGAAATTTTGATAGTTTAATTTGTAAATTACATTTTTTAATCTATTTTATCTTTTGTGTTGGTGATATACTTGCTTAATTTTTTGCTATTGTACTATTGTACAGTTCTAGTTTGATTTCAGGTAGGTCATAATTTTTTAAAACGCTCTTAATTTTGTTTCAGATATGTATGTAATTTTGTATGACTATTTTTATATTAAATGCTAATTTTTATATTATTTTACAGGTATATTTATGATTTAGAAGAGAGTATACTGAAGAAAATAGAAAAAGTTGCAATTGAAATGTATGGTGCTGCAACTGTTTCCATGTCTGAGCTTGTGAAAAATAAAGTGGAAAGCTTACAAAAACAGGTACCCGATATATGTATATAATTTTTACTCTTTAGCTAACAATAAGAGCAACACCACTTATGAATCAAGTTTTTACCAAGCAAATACTCTGTTTTGTCAGCTATAGTATCTTTGTTAATTCCTATACCGCCTCAAATTTAATAACACCAGAGGTTTTTCCTGAAAGAAATTAATTTGAAAAAATGTAAGAATAACCACTAAGGAAGAATGATAAATAATCATCTCCTTTAGAGTGATATTTTGACTTTAAAGGGGACTCTTCTAAACAGTCATTCGGAATTGCATTCTGAGGCACTAATGGTGTTCCGAATTATCGTGTAAGGTAGTGAATGAAATACTGATGTTGGTGTATGGCGGATTTCCGAACCTCCGGAAATCAAAGGTTCATTCACGAGAAGTGGAGAGGGGACTGAGGTGAAAGTAGTGGGGAGACTAACCATACTACTAGATAGGTACCATAGATACTAGATAGATAGTTTACCTAGGCCTCACAACCATAATAAATTTCTGATTTTCATTAAAAGTAAATAGTTAAATAATTTTTCATATCCCTTGTTTATATTTTATAAACCATCTTCAACTATTTCTTTTAAATAGTCAAGTGGGCAACAAATTAAAAAAAAAAAGTGGAAACTTCACAATTTACTTAAAGAAAAAAAAAAATCTTTAACTGTTGTGTATATTTGTCAGTTCTTTTCCCATTTTCCTCAACAAATTTATTATTTTCGCAATACCTTTCCTTAATTTTTGTAAGTTGTAGACTTATATTTTACTAACTTTTGTCAAAACGATTTTCTATGAGACTAACCTTACTACTAGATAGGTTAGTTTACCTAGGTCTCATTTTTAAGTAAATAATTTCATAAAAGTAAATAGTTGTTTATATCCCTAGTTTATATTTTTATTAACCATTTTCAATATTTTTTCTTTAAATAGTCAAGTAGGCAATAAATTGAAAAAAAAAAGTGGAAACTTCACAATTTACTTATAGAAAAAAAATCTTTAACTGTTGTGTTTATTTGTCATTAATTTTTCTATTTTTCTTAACAAATTGATTATTTTCGCAATACTTTTCCTAAATTTTTGTAAGTAGTTGACTTATATTTTTCTAACTTTGGTCTAAACGATTTTCAGGCACTAGGAAGTAATTATTATATCTCCATTTTTCTCTTGATGTCCAATACTATAAAGGACAATGTCCAAATAAGCTTATCTATGCTGTTTCTTTGTTTACAACTGAGCTAAATTGGCTTCAGCAATGATAAGTAATGATCAGTAATGATTGAACGTGTTGGGGTCTTCATGATGAAAGCGATCCCGAGCAATCTTTGTCATTCTTGTGACGTTCATTCATGAATTACCGTGTAGGATCCCCTTAAATTTCATTTAGGATATATTCTTCTTGCTAAGAATGGTCTCTACACAACAACATCGGTGGTTTATAAAGGAGAATCATTGCTCCATATATTTTATTTGAAGACTTTTGCATTATTGTTCACCGTTAAATTACAACTTTACTTGAATTTTCAACTTTTTGGGTAACAACATGAAAAAATTGATTTTACCATTACCTAGTAAATGAGCAATTATTTTTTAAAAATGTATTTAATGGTTTTCTGAATATCCAAGTTGGGAAAATTAAGCTAAATAACAAATGACAACCAAGACCAAAAAACTAAGTTAAGTCAAATTCATTATTATACCATTTTATTTAATTCATTAATATATATATTTCAAATTATTTTGTTATGTGTAAACAGTTTTTCCACAATAAGTTAATTTTTTAAATGAATATCAAATGCCTTACAGTCAGTGGCTGGGTCGATCATAACAAATATAACACAACCCCTCCCCTTTCCTCAGGCCAGAGCAGTACCTAAGAACAGTCTTTTATATAATTAGATTAGCAGTAAAACTAATAAAATAATGTCTTTGTATCCCAAATCTGAGTATTATTACTTTTGGAACAATCATCATCATCATCATCATATTCCTGATCCCAATACCGCAGCGCAGTGTGGGCTATGTCTTGTAGAGCTTGAACCAGGTTTCCCTTTCTTGAGCCAACTCTCTTCTCTTACTCCAATCCATACCTCACTTCCTGAATGCCTCTTGTATACTGTCTTCCCAGGATATGCGTGGTCTCTAGGTCTCCTTCCCTCCACACGGGTCTCGTATGTCTTCCTGGCTGTTCTCTCTTGATCCATTCTAAGAAGATGTCCGAACCATTTTAGCTTGTGCTCCTCTAGGATGGTTTGACCTCGAGGCTAGTCCGTACAGTGTCGTTCCGGACCCTATCTCTTCTGACCTTTCCCTCGACCTTCGGAAGGTATCGCATCTCCATGGCTTGAATTCGACTTTTGTGTTTTGAGGTGAGGGTCCACGATTCAGAGAAGTACGAAAGGATAGGGAGAAAGGTCGATTTGTAGACTGCTACTTTAGTTCACTTCGTTATCTCTCTTTTGCTCAGAAATCCCCTCCGGAGAAGATAGAACACTCTGCCAGCTGCCCCGATTCTTTCACTCACTTCTTCATCAACATAACCACTTTCGTTGAGAACCTAGATACTGGAAATCATCTACCTGCTCCAATCTCTCACTACTTGCTCTCATCACCCTCATTATTCTCTGGGGCTTCTTCCCTATTCTCATACATTTAGTTTTTCCCTGGTTAATCTTCATGTTTATCGTGGCTATTTCTTCCTGGAGGTTGTTGATGTTGTATTGGAGATCTCGATCTTTGGCAGCTAGCAAGACCAGGTCGTTAGCAAACGCCAGCACAGAGAATCTTGTCAGTTGCAGTTTTCGGTGTCCTAACTGGAACTGCCTCATCCTTAGTTTAGCCTTTCTAAGTGCCATGTCTAAAACTATTATGAACAGTAGCGGGCTTAAGCTACAACCTTGGCGAATACCTAATGTCGACTCAAATTCTTCTGAAATGTGGTTCATGGTCCTAACCACATTTCTGGTCTTGTTATAGAGACTCATCACAGCCAAAATCGTTCCATGATCGGTCCTTCTTTCAGACAATGCCCGCTCTATATCTTCCTTCCTCAATCTGTCGAAAGCCTTTTGAAGGTCCACGAAGCAGACAGAAAGCTCCTTATTCTTCTCAACCGTCTTTTCTGTAATTTGGCGCATTGTGAAGATAAGATCCTGCGTACTTCGCTGCCCTCTGAAGCCGTATTGTTCTTCCACGAGCTGACTATCCACCAACCTTCTTATCCTTGTCGCCAGTATTCTGGAATAAACTTTACTGGGTACACTGAGAAGCGATATTCCCCAATGATTCCCACACTCTCTATTATCTCCTTTCTTATAAATGGGCACGATCACTGCCACTTCCCAGTCTTTCGGAATTTTCTTTTCCTTCCAAATCAGGTTCAGAAGATGGAGGAATATCTCTTGGCCTTTGCTACCCATGAACTTAATCATTTCGGGACTGATTTCATCAAGACCTGCTGCCTTGCCTAGCTTGATCTTGTCCCTGGCTTCTTGCAGTTCTTCCTCACTGATGTAGTCATCTTCGATCCAAACATTCTCCACCCCGCTCTGAGTCTTACACATCTCTACATCTCTACCCTCAAGCAGTTCTTTAAAATAGTCCCTCCATCTTTCCATAATCAGTTCCTCCTGCCAGATGATCTCCCCATTGTTATCTTTGATTCCTTTAAGTGAAGTCGGTCGATCCCTCCTCATTCCTTTGAGGACTTTATAAAAGATTTTCTGATTTTACCTGCCATTTTCCTCAAGTTGTTGACCAAAATCCTCCCAAGATTTCCTTTTTGCTTCAAGCACTTTTAACTTGGCATCTTTTCTGCGATCTTTGTATACTTTGTGAGCTTCAGGAGTTCTAAGACTTAGGTGGTTCTTCCAAGCTTTCTTCTTTTCTTTGATGGCCTTTCTTAGGTCTTCTGTCCACCAGGCTGTTCTTCTAGGACCAGATCCAACACCCTTTTCCCCGCAGACCAATTTTGATGCATCAAGGAGGATCTTCCTAAAAGCTGCCTAGCTCCTGTCAATGTCATCGCAGTCCCAATGTCTGTTGTCTAGGGCCATTCTTTCTATTTCTTCTTGAAAATAGGCTGCCAAGTCATCCTGCTTTAAGTGATATGATTTTATGACCTTTTTCTTGGAGTTCTTATTTCTTTTTCGTGGTTTCAACTCATTCCAACATCTATTGATTATCAGCAGATAATGATCACTGCCTATTTCAAATGCTCGCTTGACCCTGGCCTCCATTAATCCTCACATTTCTTCTCTTTTGACCAAAATATAATCAATAATAAATTTTTCATTTCTTCCCGCTTCTTCTCTCATAAATCTATGACATTCTTTATGCGGAAAAAATGTATTTGTTACCATCAGATCATTTGCCTCACAAAAGTTCAGGATTCGGTGGCCATTATCATTTATGATTTGCTCACCATATCTTCCTAAGGTTCCCGGCCATCTCTCGGAGCTACAACCGACTCTCCCATTCAGATCTCCTACAATTCTGCCTTCACAGTCATCAACTTCTCTTTGAAGTCCTGTATAGAAGGCATCTTTTTCATCAGAGTTAGCACTATTGTTTGGCCCATAAGCGACTATTACTGAATGAATTCTCCTTTCTTCTTTGTTTCTGTAATGCCTAAAAGATCTACTTTGGCTTTTTGAATCTCCTCCACAAGCTCGCACTCCTTCCCGTTCAGGCCACGAACGTTCCAAGTCGCCATTCTAAATAACAGTTTTCCACGCCGCGTCGAGTTCCGTAAAGACAATCCAACTCTTTTCATTCTGCTATTTGTGATAATATAAATTTAAGGAGAATTGGTTATCAGCCAACTACCCCGAGTCAGGTGGTGGGGCTGCCTCCTCCGAGCATCCTGACAAGCTCCCCCATCCGGAGCGGCTACCTAGGGAAGGTGGCCCTAGGGTGTGTACTATTGTTGACCTTGATCTGTAGTGTGGGGGTGAATGTAGTGTGCTGTTGATTGTGTACTGTATGGGTCAGTGTACTGTTCCCCCAACCTGGAGGGCCAGTGGCTATCTGCGGTACTATGACCGGGCAATGGGGCCGCCACCTCCCTACGCCAACTTTTGGAACAATAAGATGCTAAAATAAAGAAAAAAAAAAAGTTTGCCCATTTACAATATTTTACTTTTCTTAGAAGTGGCCCCATGGCTCTCAACATGTTAAAATCATAAATAAGAAACTATGTATGTTATACTGAAATGGTATATTATTTCTTTTAAAATCAATTTCATACAGTAAAAAAAAAAAATTGATTGGTGAAAAATTTCATATTCTTTCTTTTTGCAAATAAAAACACAAGTTTATAGATGTATTGATGTATAATGTATGTATGTAATCAACCCATATGGGAGATAGTCAGTTAATACACTAAAAGCTAATAATTGTCCTGCTCACTTTCTTCTTCTTACATACTAATATTTACAACATTCCTTCATTTCCTCTCTCTAGTTATACACTGTTATTAACAATTCTCCAAAACTTCATTTCCAACTCCAACTTGTTACCGCCATTTCCAACATCATCTCAATCATTCCAGCATTAATATGCTTTCTGAATCCTGGAATCAATCATTCCTTTTTAAGCTAATATTTTCCATCAAACTTTATTTGATCCATACTATTCTATTCATCAGACCTAATTTCCAGATACATGACTACACCTTCAAATAATTAACCTAACAAAATCCTAAATGATCCAGTTTCACTTATTTCTTCACACAATCTTATCCAAATTTTCTTAAATATGCTCTTCTCTACTACTCGACTAAGGCTACATCAACAATTCTGACCAGAAAGCAAACAGCTCTAGAAAAATCCAACTTATTTTTGTCTCTAATAAAGAGAACCACTCCATTAATCATAGATAGACATCTTGTGAGTTGCAGATTATCTAAGGCTCAACCTAATGTCATTAGCAAGGTCATTCCCTCTCTCCTCCCCCCCTCCATGCACTCTCTTCATTCATATAAGTTGTGCCCCTATTAATAATAAACCTGTACCAATACAACCCATGAAGGGTCTGGGGTTCAGTACGATTTAGGGAAAGCACTGTTTCTAGGTCGACGGTTATGCAAGGAGGTGATTTGACCGAGATCACGCTTAACCGCCAGGTTTCCCCCTTAATCAATTATTTAATTAAGGTTATCCACATTATAGAGGCTGGGTGTGCCCCTGAAGGGTCTCCCGAGCCGGGGTTCAAACCTGGGATCTTTGCATTGGAAGCTCAGTGCCCTACCACTGAGCTACCCCCACTCCCTCTATTAATAATAGGAATATTAATTAAAACAAAAGGCGATGTTTTCATAAAACAAAATTGACACTGCCCCACACAGTTATCTTATATTAACTTATAATTTAATCAGACTTTGGACTACATGCAAAAAGCATTTTGTTTTATTTAATATTTCTATTATTAATAGGGGCACAACTTATATGAATGAAGAGAGTGCATGGACGGGGGGGCGGGGGGGGGAGCGGGGAGAGAGATAATGATCTTGCTAATGATTTAGGTTGAGCCTTAGATAATCGGCAGCTCACAACCTATCTATCTATGATTAATGGAATGGTTCTCTTTATTAGAGACAAAAATAAGTTGGTTTTTTCGAGAGCTGTTTGTATTCTGGTGTCTTATATCAGAATTGTTGATGTAGCCTTAGTCGAGTAGTAGAGAAGAGCATATTTAAGAAAATTTAGATAAGATTGTGTGAAGAAATAAGTGAAACTGGATCGTTTGGGATTTTGTTAGGTTAATTATTTGAAGGTGTAGTCATGTATCTGGAAATTAGGTCTGATGAATAGAATAGTATGGATCAAATAAAGTTTGATGGAAAATATTAGCTTAAAAAGGAATGATCGATTCCAGGATTCAGAAAGAATATTAATGCTGGATACATTATACATCAAGTTGGAGTTGGAAATGAAGTTTTGAAGAATTGTTAATAACAGTGTATAACTAGAGAGAGGAAATGAAGGAATGTTGTAAATAGTAGTATGTGAGAAGAAAAAAGTGAGCAGGACAATAATTAGTTATGAGTATATTAACTGACTATCTCCCATATGGGTTGATTACATACATACATTATACATCAATACATCTATAAACTTGTGTTTTTATTTGCAAAAAGAAAGAATATCAAATTTTTCACCAATTAATTCTTTTTTTACTGTATGAAATTGATTTCAAAGGAAATAATATACCATTTCAGTATAACATACATAGTTTCTTATTTATGATTTTAACATGTTGAGAGCCATGGAGCCAATTCTAAAAAAAGTAAAATATTGTAAATGGGCAAACTTTTTTTTTTTTTTTTTTTAAATATTTTAGCATCTTATTGTTCCAAAAGTAATAATACTCAGATTTGGGATACAAAGACATTATTTTATTAGTTTTACTGCTAATCTAATTATATAAAAGACAGTTCTTAGGTAATGCTCTGGCCTGAGGAGAAGGGGAAGGGTTGTGTTATATTTGTTATGATTGACCCAGCCACTGACTGTAAGGCATTTGATATTCATTTAAAAAATTAACTTATTGTGGAAAAACTGTTTACACATAACAAAATAATTTAATATATATATATATATATATATATATATATATATATATATATATAAATAAATAAATTAAATAAAAGGTGATAGCATTCTAATGATTGGTAATTGCTTCATGGGGCGGCATAGCTGGGTACTGTGAAAAACAAAAAAAAAAAAACAAATCGGGCCAAGGTGGTCCCCAGGAGCTGAGAAAACACATGTTTGGGTATCCCTCTGGCCTGAAGGGAAACATTACTGGAGGTGGTTCAGCGTTTCATGGGGAAAGCCTTGGTCTGCTTGTAAAGTTTTCGGCTGGCGACCTGGGACTGTTCAAGTGCTTTACATGTTAACTAGTGTAACTAAGTTATGGAAAGTGTGAATTATAAATCATATAAAATAGTACAATGGGTATTAATTTTGAAGATTTAGAGTATTATTAATTTATAGAAATTGGGTTTAAAGATGTTCAAAAATAATGAATTATGTTTTATTTGGGATTATTTTCTATAAGGGTGAGGAATGATTATTTATATGATCTATATTTCATTTAGTCCTACCTAAAAAGTAAGTTAGTGCATAGGCAGGCTATTGTGATCGTATTACTATACATTTATTGGCATTATATGGCTATTGCTAATTGCTCCTTTTGTCCCTATTACTGCTCCTTCTTTCTACTTCCCATTTACTTGTCATCTTTTTGAATGAATTTAAATAATTTATTATTGTGACTTTCTTTTATTTTTCAGGGTTTTGGTAATTTACCTGTTTGTATGTCCAAAACTGCTTTGTCACTAAGTGGTGACCCCCTTTTAAAGGGTGTTCCTGAAGGTTTTGATCTTCCAGTGACAGATGTTTATTTGTCTGCTGGAGCTGGATTTGTTGTAGTGATGATTGGTGAAGTAAGTTTATTTATTTGTTATACTTAGTTAAATATTTTTTTTAATACTAATGAATGTCTTTATTATTCTTTTTAATGTTACATTTATTATTCTTTTTAATATAGTTTTATTATTATTTTTAATATAGTTTTATTATTATTTTTAATATAGTTTTATTATTATTTTTAATATCATTATTTTCTGTAAAATTTAATTAATGATGATAACATCACTTTTTAAGTGATAAAGGAGCTTACTGTACCAAATTGTTAATTTATAAAAAATCTTGGTGATAGACAGAGAATATTGGATAAATATGCATCATCTCTTTATCAATTTTAAATACATTTATAATTTGATTGACAGAGAACATCTGAATCAAGGAATGGATTTGATAATACTCCTCATTAAGTTTCATTAATATTAAGATGACATACATAGAAATAGAAATAGAAATAGAAAAATCATCTTTATTCTGGGACTAGGTCCCTTTAGAATAACAGTATTGTTCATATATATTAACTACAAATCTGGTCAAAAGACTTATTATAATGAATAATGATAAAATACATGTAATACATTAAGTATTAATTAAGCTCTTAGGATAAATTAACGAGGACAGTTGGGTAATAGGGGTTCAGTACTACAATATTGGAGCTAAAATAATTGCATAATAATCACTGAATGAAATTAGAAAGGAAAGTAAAATCTATTTTATAGGTAAAGCATTGTAGTGATGGAATATAAAAATTAAAAAAAATAATAATAACTGTTAATATGTAGGGAAAGAAATTGTAAAAACTAAAACAAAAAAATATATAAAAAAACAAATAATGATATACATATGTTCCCTAAGATATTTAAGTGATTATGCGTAAAGATTACGAGAAGAGAAAATAAAATAAAGTATATATATACACATAGCGAGGAGTATGTTGAAGATAATAAGAAATAAAATATATTTCACTGAAATACATTCCATGAATAACAAATTAGAACTTAAGAAAAACAAATTTTATCTACTCACAATGCTTAGTGAGTGGTGATGAAAATTCACGTTCAACACAGAATAAAACAATAAAAAATAAGAGAAAAAAAATAATGTCTAAAGAAAATTAAATCCTTATAACATAGTATGTATTTAACCAGCGTCTGATTGGATTGTGAAGAGGAATTGGAATAAGAGGGTTTTAAAGGTGGATAAGGATGATGCATGGCGGATTTTTAGTGGGTTGGAATTCCAGAATGCAGTGGAACGGACAACGAAGGAATGTTTAAATGATGCAGATCTGTGGAAAGGAGTGTAAAGGTAAGAAGGACGAGATCTTGTGGAGAGGGTGTGGATAGATGATTTGAATTGTAGGAGATTGTATGCGTAGGACGGACGATGACTATTGATTGTTTGGTAAAGGAATGTGCCTAGGAAATGTTGTCTTCGGAAGGAAGGGAAGAGCCATCCTAATTCAGCATAGTGGTGCGAAACACGGGAATACCTCAGGGCCCCTGTGACAAATCTTACGAAGGCATTCATAATTCTTTTCAGTCTCTCCCCGAGTTCTGCCGAGAGGCCACCGTACACCACGCAGCCGTAATCAAGGTGGGGGGAAGATGAGGGAAGTTACTAGGAGTCTACGTGTGGAGATGGGTAGGAGATGGCGGAAGCGATGGAATAGTTTCAAGGTACCAATTGACTGTCGGGTAATGTGAGCAATATGTTGTTTCCAGGATAGGGTTTGGTCTATGAAAATGCCTAGGTTTTTTACTGAGGAGGTGAAGGTAGTGGGATGGTCATTTAGGTACAGTATAGGTATGTTGGTATTGGCTCTGAGAAGGGGTTTGGAACCAATGACAATGGCTTGAGTTTTTGCAGCGTTTAACCTTAACCCATTTAAGTTTGCCCAGGCACTGATCCGATTCAAGTCTTCTTGAATTTTGGCAAACGCTTCATGCAACTCTGAGGGATGGAAGGAAAGGTAGATTTGGGAGTCATCGGCGTAAAGGTGATGGGAGCAGTGAAGGATTGAATTATGGATGTCATTGATATAAGAACTAAAAAGGAGGGGAGATATGCTAGAGCCCTGGGCCACTCCTGCGGACAAAGTAAGATAGGAAGACAAGGATTGATTAGGAATAGCGACAGCTTGTGAGCGTTGGGAAAGGAATGATTGAAACCATAGGATAGAACTATGGGAAAAGGATAATGATTTTAATTTGGAAAAGAGAATGGAATGGTTGATGGAATCAAAGGCTTTGGAAAAGTCAATGAGTATAAGGACGGTTAGTTTTTTGTCATCAATGGCGGACTGAACATCATTAATGATTTTGATTAGGGCGGATTGTGTGGAATAACCTGGTCGGAAACCAGATTGGTAAAGGTCAAGTTGATTGGACTGTTCAAGGAAGGTGGAAACTTGGGATTGCATAATTCTCTCCAGGGGTTTGGAAAGGTTAGAAAGGATTGAGATTGGCCAGAAATCTTCAGGGGAAGACGGATTAGAATTTTTATTTAAAGGACGGACTGTGGCTTTTTTCAACAAGGAAGGGAATACTGAATTTTGAAGGGAAAAATTGTAGATGAAAAGGAGTACCGGAAGGATTTCAAGGAGGCATAATTATTTAATTTGACGGGAATGCCATCTGGACCAATAGAATTAGAGTGTGATTTCATCAGGGCGGATATGAGGTCTGTGGGAGAAATATCTGAAAAATAAAAATTGGCGTCATTAAAAGATGTTCCAGAAGGAAAGAAAGAAGGGAGAAATGAAGGAGTTGAAGAGGAAGCAGATATAAAATAAGAATTTAAGTCATTTGATGAAACTGGGGGCACTGCAGAGGGAGGAGATCTGGTAGGATCACAAAGAGAGAGTTTACGAAGGAGTAGCCATTTGGATTTGGAATCAGGAGCTGAGGAAAGGGCTTCATGGAAATAGGTAGATTTGGCTCGTCGGATTGTGGTTTGTGTCAGGTTGCGGAGCGCCCTGAACGCTTGATAGTCGTCAGGCAATCTAGTGCGTCTAAAGCGTCTCCGGGCTGCATCACGCCTCTTCTGAAGATCCTTAATTTTCTAACACATCCAGGGAGCAGGAAGGCGACGAAAGGTGGAGGTTTTGAGAGGGGCATCGTCATCAAGGATATTAATAAGATTGGAGGTGAGAATGTCAACCATGGAATCAATTGAGGTACAGGAATATATTATATTCCAATCTAGGGATTCTAGGGAAGGTAAGATTTTTTCCCGAGTAAGGCCATTAAGGTTCCGGAAAGTTACCGTTCTCAGTAGGATCGGAGGTGTTTGGATATTATAAGATATTTGGATTAGGTCATGCGACGATAAAAAAGAAACTGGTAATTGGGAAGAGGAAAGGAGGTTTTGAGCGGAATCAATAATGTACAGGTCCAAGCAAGTGTCGGACCTTGCGGTGTGATGCGTAGCAGAAAAAGGAACGATAAAAAGATGAAGGGAGAAAAAAAGGTTTTCTAGGTATGATTTGTCGCTGGAGTCGGAGAGGAAATTGGTGTTTAAGTCACCGGAAATGATAATTTTGGAATAAAGGGGCACAAAGTTAAAGAGAGAAACTTCGAAAGACGAGTCAAACGGAACAAGAGGAGGACGATATACCACGGAATAGAGGAGATGAGAGGTGTTACAGGAGATTTCGACGATCAAGAACTACGAACATACATACATAGATGGAGTTACATCCTGTCTCCGAGACTGGACCTCCTCCAAAAGCTTTCCCCAGTCAATACGATCAGCTCTCCAGTTTTGGACTCTCAGTAGAGCCCGTGCGTCCGATGTCACTGAGTCCTCCCATCTTACATTTGGCCTGCCAGCCTTTCTTATTCCATGCATCTTTCCGGACAGCATTTTCTTGGTTATCGCCGAACTATCCATACGTGCTACATGCCTGGCCCATCGAAGTCGTCCTATCTTGATAAACTTGACAAAGTCTATCTCCTTAAAAAGGCAAGCGAGTTCAGAATTTCTCCTTCTTCTCCAAATTCCACCCTCTCTAACAGGACCAAAAATCCTTCTCAAGATTGCTCTCTCAAAGATCAGAATTCTATTTTCATCTTGTTCCTTAAAGGCCCATGCTTCTGATCCATAAGTTAAAACAGGGTAGACTAAGATTTTGTCGAAAGTGATCTTAGTCCTGTTAAACAGGAACCTGTTTCTAAAATGCTTTGAAAAGCCAAAGTAGCACCCTCTCACTGTTGCTATCCTCCTATGGAGTTGATCTCAGACCCGAGGTAGACAAAGCTGCATACCTTTTCGAAATTATATAGCCCAGCCACAAAAGAACCAGTCCCTGGCCCATCTCCTCCAACTCTCACATACTTGGTCTTAGCTTCATTAATATGTAGCCCAAGTTTCTTTGCTGCATCTTCTATGGCCAAGGACAACTCTCTTACTACGCCTTCCAATCTGGCGGAAATATCAAAGTCATCAGCTTACCCAAGAAGCTGAAAGGTACTGTTAAGACGGGTTGCGTCGAGTTGGATTCCGGACATACGCACTGTTTTCTCTGCAGCAAAGTTAAAAAGAAGACAGGCTAGAGCATCTCCCTGTCTTACACCACAGTTAGTATGAAAGTGTTCCGAGAAGTCACTTCCCACTCATACTGCACACTTCGAGCCTGACATCGTGATTTTCACGAGACGTATCAGTTAAATTAGGACATTCATTTCCAACAGGGCCTGATAGAGCTCCGGCCGAGTTACACTATTGTAGGTAGCTTTAAAATCAATGAAGAGGTAATGAGTAACTGTTCTTTACTCTTTGCATTACTCCAGCATCAGCCTCAGTGAGAACAGTTGGTCCAATGTGGACCTCCCTCGTCTAAATCCTGCTTGATATTTGCCTATCTCTCTCTCTGCATGAGGACTAGTCTCTCAAATAGGATGTTAGAGAGAACTTCATAAGCACATGAGAAGAGCACTATGCCTTGATAATTGTTGCAATCCGATTGGTACCCTTTCTTGTGCAGTGGGTAGATAATTCCTGTTTTCCACTCCTCAGG